AATTAATAATACACTTAATATTAATTGTCGAATGAGAGTTTTGATTTATTTCTAGATGAAATATCAATTATTTGCAATAGATATTAAACTTGATAAATTAGTAGTTAATAGGTAGGATTTTTAAGTTTTTCATTTGTGATATAATTTATTGGTCAATCAAATTTTAAATAAAATGTTTTACTTTTAAATTTAATTTTAGTAAAATAATTTTTAATTATATTCATATATTGTTTAAGATTATTGTAAGTAATTAAATAGATCATTTTATTCATTTTATACTATAAAAATGTACGAAACATATAGTAGGGTGGGGGACTTAAAATTTGTTCAAATATTAGTGGGATAAGTTTAAATTTGCCATTTAGACGATTTCATTGTAAATTATTAGTAATTATCCAAGACGTCTGCCGGAGTCTATTTGCTAATTAATTAGTCCAATCATAGGGGTTTTGTTTAATTAAAATCAATTGTTAAAAACTAGCCTTCAAACAAGGATATTAGTTTGATGATATAATAGATAAAGTTTTTTTTTTTGTATTCTTTGAATTATCAATTAACTCCTTCAAAATATATTTTGTCCATAAAATAGTATTTATCTCATAAGACATCGTTTAAAAAAAGAGCATAGTTCATTAATCGAAAACTTAAAAACTGTGCACGTTGATTTAATACGTTTAATATAAATTATCAAAATTACATTTGATCGCAAATACATATATTCAGTATACTTCCAATAAATTGAATTTATTTTTACTTAGATAGAAAATAGTATAGCAAAAATATTATTAAATTATAATTTTAAGAAAAAAATATTTTTTTAATGGAATATTCCTATTGTTGACTTCTAAATATTAATATTTATTATACCTGCAATTTATTTTAGTCATAACAAATACATACATGTATAATAAAATAGATGATAATTATTGTAATATGCTAAATTTTATAACATTTAATTGTCCATTTAATGTTCTAATTTTAATTAATAAAAGTCACATATCTCGGAGAATTATGCATTGACGCAGGTTAATTAAATTAATCAACTTTATTTATAAATATCAATTCAAAAATATGTATAATAAAATTGTCGGTCTTGTTACCAAGTGTGTAAATATAAAGTCAATGATGAAAAAACGTTATCACAGTGGGCTCGTAGCATAGTTGGGAAAATTATAGATGATATCTGTCAGTAATTAAAATCGCTATAATAAGAAACGCTTAGATACAAATCTATAGATAGTATTTAATTTTAAGAAATTTGTGGATTTTTCCAAAAACAAAATTAACTCTTATTTTTTATTCAATTTCGACTGCCATTTGCACATAGAAGTTAAGTCTTCGGGAAAATTTTTTTTTGACTTATAGTACGTAACATAAGCTTTAATTTAACATATATTTAAAAGACGCAGTATAACCTAAACATTTTCAAAAATTAAGTTGAAAAAGTTCTACTTTTTATTCGTATTTTCAAGTTTTGAACATCCCTTGTGTAAGGAGAAACTGTCCGATTAAAAAAAAAAGTATGTCGGATGAAAGAAGTGTATATAAAGTATTCAAAAATTAAAGTTTGTGTTGATCTATTCATTTTTCAAAAAGTTAGAGCAATATAGAGTTGAAAATTTTAACACAATAATAGCATATTTTTAACTTGGCAGTCACTTTGCACATAAAAGATAAATCGTCGGGACAATTTTTTTTTTAATTTATACGTAAAACATAACATAAGCCTTAATTTAACATATATTTAAAGGACGCAGTATTTCGGAACATTTTCAAAAGTTAAGTTGAAAAAGTTGACATTTGTAAAAAAGTTTATATTTTGAATATACCCACAGGGATGGGGGTAGTAACATGTCAGAATTTCAAAAAAATGATATTAATAAAAGGAAAATATCTAACGTTTCTATTTACAAAAAAATTATTATGGTACTTTCATTTTTAAAAAGTTTTGGCAGTTTTAAGAGAAAAAAATGTCAAAATTTACCGATTTTAAAAATTGTAACTTATTAGAGAATTTTCTCCATTTACAGGGAACGAGGGAAATTTTTTTAAATTTTTAAGGGCAATGTCTTCAGCTAGATACGATTTGTAATCTTTTGACGTATCGTTGAAAGAAATCAGTTCGATGAGATCTGAGAAAAAGTTGCTAAGTCAAAAAAAAACCTCATAGTAAAATTAATACCTTCTTGGCATTGCATCGAAGCTAAAATGAATTAATCTGAATTCTAAAATTTATTTAAATAAAAAAAAAAATTATTGGGCTTTTAAAACAATGTACTCAATAAGTGTATTGTATAAATATAAGTACGTAAATATACGTATATTATTATATTTTATTAAAAAATAAAAATAATTTTTCTAATATTCAACTATTTCATTATTTTAATTAATAATTGACTAAATTTTTTTTTTTATCTTTAACGTTCTTTCTGAAAAGTTGTGCTTATGTCATAAAGGACGGGAGAATCTACATAACACAGTGTAATGGTATCGAACCTGATATCTAATCATTTACTATATTGCATAACGTTACACTATTATAATTTCTTGAAATTTATTCGAATTCAAACATATTTACACGTATGAAATTTGATTTTTTTATTTTGAATTATAGAAAATTAATTAAATAAACTTAAATTTAAAATGAAATAATTGTGTATTTTTTTAATAATAGTCACAATTGAAACAACTCGGTAGTTTCAATTATTGAGCTTTGAATCAACATTTTTTAATTCCCATTAGGAGACATTAATTGTCATAGGAACATTGCATTCAAAATTTTAGATATTACTAATTTTTAAATTAACAATATGCACGTAGTAAGAATATGAATAATTATAAGGATAGTATTGTTTGTTATTCACATGTGCATTCATAATTTTCTCTAAAGTAAATAATTTAATATACATATTTATACATAATAGTATATATTTTTACATAAATAATAAACTATTATTCTTATGTGTTTATTATCTTGTGTCTATTAGAAATCATAAATTGTTTGTTTTTAAAGTTGTACAAACAATATTTTAAAGTTAAAAATTTGTATTAATATTGAACTTAATTATAACTTTAATATTTTTGTATTGAATCATATGTGAAAAATTTTAAGACCAAATTTGTTTCTTTTATGCGCCTTAATAATAATGTTATCATCATTGAACCATAAATTTTGTTTTATTCAATCTTAAAAACTTAAAAATGAGTTTTCTTTGAAATATAAAAGAGAAAAAGTTAAGGAATCATTATGAACATAGTTTGTAAAAAATATAATAATAATTATACCTACTTTACATCTTTCTTTTTAATGTATAATTAAAAAATAAAGTTTAATGGAATTTTTGGTAACTATTTTAAATATAAAATCAACTATATTCTAAGTAAACAAATTAAAAAATAATTTTAAACCCTATTAAAATTAATACAGTTTTACTCGATAATAATATACTGCTTAAGATTTCATCTAATGATATAATCTTGTAACTTAAAATTTCGTACTGTTCTAGAACAATTAAATTCAATATTTTCCCAACTTTATTAGAACTTTAAATTTTTTAAGACATTTTTAGTTTTTACTGTATATTGAACACTAGACAAATATATGCGAAATTTTTATTGATAATACTTCAAACGCATTTGTCTTGATGATGAATTGCTTTTTTAAAATACTGTGGAGGCTCAAAAACCACCACGTTGGATGGTTTTTAAAATGTGTTTTACTCCAATTTACTGGATCTCTACAGTACATTACTTTATATTTTTAAGTATGTGCGTTGATTACTCTATAATAACATCTCTGTTACGCAAATTTGATTGTTACTCTATCATTTATTTTTATATACAGTTATTTTAAGTAAAACTAACAACAAAACGTTTTATTTGAATACATTGTAACTAGAAAAAGAAGGATATAAAAGACACAAACGTAATTGTATTTTCTAAAAGTGATTTATATTTATCTTTAAATTATTTAGTTTGCATTTAATGCAGTTTATGAAGTACACCATAAAAGATATGTCAATTATATTTTTGTGGTGAAATAATGTAAAAATGTTATTTGAAATATTAAAACTATAAATGTAACAAAGGATTGTATAATAGTATTAATTTATAATTAAAAAATATTTGAGTTAATAACACCAGTGGTTATTTTATTATTTACTTGGATTAATTATATGGATAATAAACTAAAATTGTATAGTACTAAAAAAAATATATGCATAATATTACTTTTTTCAAAGTTCAAATAAATAATTTTATATTTTAACTTAAAAAAATATTTAAATTTTATCGTACTATTGAAAATAATATAATTTAAATTCATTGATTCTATACTTTTAATATATTGCTGTAGTACTAAATACTTTTTTAGTTTTCTGTAGATTGAATAACTAGTTTTCAAATAAATTTCTTTAAATTTTATAACAATAGTTACTGTGTAACATAAAATGACATTGTCAAATGCACACTATGTGTTAACTATTTTAAAGAATTTTTTAAAACAACTATTTAAGAGATTTCTTAAAAAAATACACTCTTATACTATTTACTTCTTATTATAAAAAAATTAAACAATTACATCTACTTGAATTTTTTGAAGTTGAATTGTTGATATAAATTTTTAATTAAAAAGATTTGTATTGAAAATTAATATTTCTACAGTGTTTAATACTTACAAAGCTCATCACTGGATTAACTTTTACTTATAAATTTTCCTTTATTCTTGTTAGATGGTATTTATTTTTATAATTTTCAAAGTCATCTTATTTTATTTTTTCATTAAGTTAATCCTGCACAATATTATAAATACAAAGGTTCGTCTTTTTTAAGGTATAGTTACTATCCTGCGTTAGTAAAAACCGGTTGTTACAACAAATTGTAGTAATATTGCCATGGTGATGAGAATGCACCATGAAAATATGATTAGTATCTTGTTTGATATTGTACTTTTTTTTGTCATTAAGTGGGGTATCTACTATTACTATCTACAACGTCCGTTCATCGATCATTATTTTACCGGTTGGCGCTCTGACCAGATCTCATCTAACTACAGAAATCGTAACATATTGTTTTTATATTAAAAAATGTATTTATTTGTGTATGCGCATTTAAGTGTTTAAACTATCAAATAACAAATATGCAATTTTAAATTTTGTCACATATTTTGAAATACCTTTTAAAATATGGGTAAGTCGATAAAAATAAAAATAATTATTAGGTACTAAATGATCTTATACTAATTAAATAAAAAGAGTACACCAAAAAAATAGTGTTATAATAATCACGTAAACGGTTAATATAGTGACTATTGCAATTAAGACAGTTTGGAAAACTGAATATTCGGTTAACATAACCATTTATTCAGTTATTCCAACATTTTTTCTATGAGATTTGTCACTAAATATAGTGACAACTCTTGAACAAATGATTATTAAACTGTGTATTATTTCCATGTAGTTTTATATAAATAAAGGTTAAAACTAAGAATAACTCATTCTATACTAAATTTTGACAAGTTGACATTAATTCTCTAATATGACAGTTTATAAAACTGACTTGATTGTTATGCAACACATTATTAAACAAATATGTTATAACAATTAATAAATTATTGTTAAAAAGGTTATATCATATATATACATACATGGTGATTTTTCTTTAAATAATAATCACGTTAAGAAATCTATTTTAATAGATTTTAGTTTCATATATTTCTCGATTTAACACTTATTAGTTAATTCATCCCTGATACCATATAAGGTTGTCCACTTTTATTTTTTATATGCATATTTGACTAACTTATAAAATAAAAAATATGACAATCTTCAACAAAAAAAGGGTTAATTTCAACTAAAACCAAATCGCTTATATAATTTTAGAAATAAAAAAAAGTAAATTGTATAATTAAGCTTAATTTGAATTATTATTCTGAAAATAATTAATAGTTAATAATTTGTTAAATAACACATAAAAAACAAACTTTTTAATTGTTCATAATAAAATAATTATTGTAAATTTATATTATTCAATGGGAAATTTTATACAATTCATAGTTATTGACTATTTATGTTTTTATAATCATACGGAGACCTTTATATTGTTTCACCTAATTAAGTTTTTAAGCCTGTAGATTGAAAATAATATTATGTTAAACAATCACTATCTAATTAGTTTAATATATGAGCGTGTACAAATATTTTTCGACATAACTTATGTATATTTTAACCGGTTTACAGAGGTTAAGGCCAAGTTAAGAGACGATCGTTAGATCAAATATTGGTATATTTGTTTTGATAAAACTTTATCAATTTAGAACGTCCTTAAATTAAAAAAAAAATGCATAAAAATGTCTGAAATTTATTAAATGTATTGTTTAATCGATTTCCTAATAATATAAATAAAATGTTATATTAACAACTTTTAATAATAAAACTGTATTTTTATATTTACTCTTATCCTGTTAATTAAAGTAAAATCACTGAGCTTCAAAACATCGCATTTTAATATAAAATACAAATAACAAAATACAAAATACAGAATAATAATTTATGTCAATACTACTTTTTAGCGACTGTGTTGTTTACTTTTATAGTCTATTCATTCAACTCTTCTTGATGATCTATTAGATACCTTTAAATAACAACTTAAATTTATTTATTAAATAGATAATAATTTACAATTATAATAAGTATGTATGTAACAATGTCACTATAATATTGACTTCACATTTTTTTAACTTAAGTAATATCTCATTGACACAAAATAACTCGGTTTAATATAAAATATAGGTGAAAATTCAAATAAATATATACAGTCTACTAATTCGTTGTGGAACTTCTTAAAACGGTATATATCAAAAATCTATGTGTAAATAGTTATTTGAGTAAAATAAATAATCATAGAAAGAATTAAAATAAAGTTTTACATCCCTTTAAATTTGTTTAGATGACAATATATTTTATAAGTGTATTCATATTGAAGTGTATTGTAAAAAAATAATTTTAATAAAAGAAAATCATCTAAGTACTACGTGGCATAAAAATAATTTTGAAAAATATATTTAAAAAATAAAATATGTTTATATTATAAACAGGGCTTAATAATTAAAACATATATAAAATTTGTTTTAGTCATTCCATATACATTAATTATAAATAGATAATTGTTATTATAGTACAGTACATAGTGGCACACGATAGTTTAACACATCAGATAATTATTGATCAAATTTCTTTTAAAATATTTTTTGGATAATTTTTGATTTCTAAATTGTATAAATGAGTTATCTTCAACACTACCATAGCTGGAGAAAAAAATTCTTAGGCGTATATATGTTCATAATAAAAACAGGACGCTATAACACTGATAAACGATTTTTCATTAACTGTAGAACTGAATAATAATGTCATTTATAAATCAAAACCTTTTAAAATACACGTTAGAACTAAATAAAATAACTTGTGTATAAATTCAAGCATTCCTTAATTTTTATTTATTACAGATATCAAATTTATTTTATTTTTACCATTATGCATTACGGCAGTTGAATCATTATACAAAATTGGAGTTGGCATTGCCGATATTACTGGACCACCAACCGGTATAACGTTTGTACGTAGTCACAAAAAATGTATAATTTATTTTTTCTTATGTTTATCATAATGAAAAACATAAAAAAAAACAATCATTTATTGAGAAATAACTAAATTTAATTCGAATTCAGTGCAATATTAAAAAGTTCACAAAGTTTAATTTATACAAATTGTACAATAAATTTCAAGAGGGTATTTACTTAAAGGTTTTCAGGAGTGCCTGTCATTTATTATTTAATATAACTAATTGTTATATATTGTAGATGGGATATGGCAAAATGGATCAAATAGGAGTGGGAATTCATTTACGACAGTTTTCTAGAGCTTTTGTAGTTGAAGATGGAAGTTCAAGATTAGTTTTTGTTAGTGTCGACGCAGCCATGGTTGGGGACAATGTTAAAATGGAGGTATAAATAATGATAAATTATTTTTATTATCTGAATTATAAGTAATGTTTTGTTTTAGGTATTAAAGTATCTTAAAGGGAAGATGTCAGAATTGTATGACGAAGACAATTTAATGATTTCGTCAACACATACACATTCCACACCGGGTGGTTATATGTTGTACACGCTATTTGATCTCAGCACCCGGGGTTACGTATCACTAACATTCATATCACTAGTAAAAGGGATTGCATTGGTAATAATGAAAATATCAATAAATATATATTTCCATTGGTTAATTTATTTATTTTGTTATAGAGTATTATGAGGGCTCATGATAAAATGGAATACGGTCGAATGTTTTTAAGTAGAGGTGAACTTCTTGGTGTATCAATTAATAGAAGTCCACAATCATATTTATTAAATCCAGAAAACGAACGTGCAGAGTGTGTAATTATGTTATTCAATAATTTTATTTTCTTTATATGACATGATTAAATCCAAGAATGAATTACTCAGAGTGACACACACTGTTTCAGGTATGAGTATGATGTTGATAAGACTATGGTACAAGTTAAATTTGAAAATGAGTTCGGCACACCTATGGGAGTTATTAATTGGTATGCTGTACATGCCACTAGCATGAATAACACGAACAAATTAGTATCATCGGATAATCTAGGGTACGCTTCTGTGATGTTTGAGCAGAAAATGAATCCAGATAATTTAATAGGAAAAGTAATTAACATTTAATAAATAGGAAATAATTATTTGTACTATTAATTATTAGTATAAAATACATTCAGGGTCACTTTGTTGCTGCTTTTGCTTCAGCAAATGAAGGCGATTCTTCGCCCAATATAAAAGGTCCTAGATGTCAAATAACTGGAAATCCTTGTGATATACCTGGGCCATCTTGTGAGTCAGGCGAACAATGTGTTGCATCGGGACCTGGTAAAGATATGAAAGAAAGTACTAAAATTATAGCTGAACGTTTATTTGAAAAGGCTTTTGTAAGTATCGTGACGAATAATATGATTTTTTACGTATGTATTTGGTAAGAAATAATATCATTTGATGCTATTAGGAATTGATGAAAAACAAACCTGAGATTGAAATAACGGGACCAATTAAATCAATTCATCAATACGTTGATATGACAAAAGAAGAAGTTGAGTATACTGACCTGAATACAGGAGAACTCATACAAGGTAGAGGTTGTAAACCANCTAATACAGGAGAACTTATACAAGGTAGAGGTTGTAAACCAGCTTTAGGCCATACATTTTCATCAGGTACAACTGATGGACCTGGATTGTTTTCTTTTGAAGCTGGTTCAAATAGTTCAAACAACCCACTTTGGAATTTAGTCAGTAATGTTATACCTAATCCAAGTAAAGAACAAATCGAGTGTCATACTAATAAATCAATCACGTTAACAACTGGAGAGGTTAGTTGCTAAAATTACATTAAAAATGTTTAAGGATACCTTAATACCTTTTTTAATTTATCTAGAATGTTTAATGAAATGTTTTAATGTTACAGTTTAATTACCCCAACCCATGGTCTCCAAACATAGTATCAACTCAGTTGGCCATGATTGGACCACTGATTATAATTTGTGTTCCTGGTGAATTTACCACTATGTCGGGAAGACGACTCAGGAAAGTGGTTGCTAAAGAGATGTGTAATGGACGTGTATTGTGTATTCCAGTAATTGCTGGTCTTTGTAACACTTATAGTGATTATGTTACTACTCCAGAAGAATATAAAGTAAATTAAACACTAATTGCAACTGGGAATTAACTTAATTATGTTGACATGTATTTATTTCATCCAAAAAACATATAATGTATAAAAATCATACAAAATTGAAAAAATGCCACAAGAAAATTATTTATTTTTAAAAATTTGAAAATAAATTGTATTTTGTTTGATTCACATATATTAATAATTATCGCTATAATTTTATCACGTTAATATAGTTGCAACGTTATGAAGGTGCTTCTACAATATACGGTCCACATACATTGCCTATTTATATTAAGCAATATGCAAAACTTGCCTATGCATTATCGAATGATATAATGCTGAAACGAGGCCCTGAAGCACCAAATTTCACATCCGAAACGATTACATTATTAACGCCAATTTTATATGATACTCCACTATCTGGATATAATTTTGGCGATTGTATACTTCAACCACCGTATATCGCTTTTTTGGGTGATACTGTAATTGCTAAATTTGTAAGTATTTTTAATTTTAGTATTTCATGTAAAAAAAAAATTAAAAACTAATTTATTTATCATATCCTATTTTTATGTTATAATTAATTTATGGTATTTTTAGCAATGATTAATAAAAGTTAGAGTGACAATAAGTTTTTAATTATTAAATAAATCATTAAAATAATACTAGTATCAAAATCTTTTTGCCTTAGGAAATCTAATTTTCTTAGAATAATTTCCATTATTGTAATATTAAATGACTTAGTGGACTTAAATAAAACATGATGGTTTATTAATCACTAATTTTTTTATCTCCAATTCGATTTTCTTATATCCTAAAAACTTTTTATGTTATTTATACAAAATATAATTATCAAGCTATAGTAATACTATGCATTGAAAGCTATATATATAATTAATTGTAAAAAGTTGTTTCTACTCTGATCATTTGAAAAATACTCTATTAAATTGTTAATACACTTGCTGTAAGATATGTTTTTGTGAAGTAATTATAATATGCATTCATTCCTAAAAGGAATATTTAAGATTTGCTTCCAATAGATTAAGTGAAATTTATACTATATTTATTTATTAATTCTTTGAGTTTGTCTCAAATTTATTGTTCAAAAATCTTTAGTGTTGTATGAAATGTTATAGAAATTATATATGAAAAATATTGAGGAATATATGGAAGAATCGGAAGCTGTAAGTACAGTCATAGAAATGAATGTTGAAGAAAGAAAAGGTAAAAAAATAAATGGAGAGATGTTACTGAACGAGATATGAGCGACAGTTAAATATTTTACAGGTTTATCAACTAAATTTTGTGAACAAATATCAAGTGTTTTTTAACATTACTAATGAAAGTTATACTAGAGCTATAGATTACGGTTAAAATTATAATAGAAACTTAACTGCTTCAATCTAGTTTATTTAATTTCTTTGTCGCCGAATTTAAAAGGAACATATATACAATTTGAAAAAATTACCCTATTTTTTGATAAATATTTTCATTGGGATAGAGTTTATCAACAATTCATTTTTCGATACAACAAACTTAACAAAAACCTAGAATATCAACAGACTTCTCTGAATTTTTTTCAAACTTCATAAGAAGGTAGGTTTTTGGTTGTAAGAAATATTTCGTTGTTTTTTGTTTTGATTTTGATAAAGTGAATGGCTGTATATATACATATTCAACTTTCAGTGCGGTTTTATCTATGTAATCTACTTCCTCATTATTTGGGATAATTTATACGATTTCCCAAAAAAACTTGTTACAATCAAAATAGCTTCTAATAATTAAATTCTTAGAATGCTATTTTGTAAATACAACTAGATGTACGTACTTTGTAAGTACCCTTGAATAAAGGAATTTCTTATGGTAAAATAGTTTTCATTGATTTAACGTCATCTTCTTGAATTAAAATTATTTCTACTCTCCTGATGTTCTCTTTTTAGAACTATTCAAAGTTTAACTATCTGTCTTTAATTTGACCAACAATTCGATCAGCTGTCTCCTTGGGCAATCTTCTACACCAATCAAATAACTATTTCTATGACCAACTTCTATATAATTCCAGATGCTAACCAAAACTTTAATTTAATACTGAAGAGTATTTACAATTAGATAAAATATTGTTTCGTACATATGACATTGCTAAAAGTAGTGTTAACACATCACACACAATTTTCTTTACTCTAACAGTTGGTGGAAATAAAAAAAAAGTATAGGTGATGAAAAAAAAGTATGTGACAAATATAAACACACAAAACACTTATAGGATGGTCATTTTACTTATTTAACAAGACGAATCATAAGTTATTAATATTCTAGTCATAATAATTGATTTATAACTCATAAAATATTATATGATATCAAATATATTTTAAAAAAATGTTTAAAACTTATCAAATGTGATAAGATTGGGAAGAGAGATTTAAAGTATTTTTCATACATAACTTATAAACAATTGAAACTCGAAATATTAATCCTTTGAAAAAATCATACTATTTTAACCAACATATTTGATAGAACTTCATTAGAACAGTATTATAAACATAATATCTACGTTACACAGAATAACCTACTTAAAAACTATAATTTGTTACTTTAAACAATTATAGATGTTTTTAAATTATTTGTTTGATTAGATTTATGTAATCGAACAGTATAATTTTTTATGTATTAATTTCAGGTTGCCGGTAATCCAAGAAACAACCCAATGTTGGAAATGACATTTTTGACGATTGAGTGTTTAGAGTCAGATTTGAAGTGGAAAATAGTTGCTACAGATGCTAATTGGGAAACCGAGTGAGTTTTTAAGAATTTGTTTATTTTGATTGTACATTTTTCATTAATTATATCCACTTTACATTATTAAATATAAAAATATATAATAATACTATTAATATAAAAGCAATAAAAGTATAGGTTGAATTTAAAATTTTATTACTAGGTTTACTTGGGAAACAAAATCTTGGTTTTGGGCAACAAGTGTAGCCGAAATTAAATGGATTATACCAATCAGTACAAAACCAGGTACTTACAGGATACGACATTTTGGATATTTTAAGTATTTTGGTGGTAATAGATTAGGAAGATATTATGGAACTTCAGAAGCATTTACTGTCACAACAAAATAAAGCAATATTATAAATATATATACTAAATAAGATTTTTATATTGAATAAAATAACAATTTTTGTTCCTGAATTACATAACTGGGTACTTAAAAACATCAATATTTCATTGTTTTTAAATTAGTGTTTCTTAAATATTAAATATTCGTTAAGCCAAATTAACTTAGATTATTAATAAATTTATCTCCTAAAATACAATCCATATATTATATATATTTACCTACAATATTGTAATTAAAAATATATAATAAGTTATATGAAAAACGTGATAAATTTTATAACTGCAGTATGTAAAAAAAAAGTAGGCTGTAATTTGTCGACGTATAAAAAAGTTTCAATTAATTAAGACGTAATATCTAGAATAAAATTTTTAATAAAAAATAATTAATTAATTAATATTCCGTTAAAATATATGCCACGGTAACGAAAATTTTTGTTATTAGGTTATGTACAATACAATAACTGTCTTTTGTATATAAAATAATATTACAAAAATTTTACCTTGAATACCTATGAATATTAATTTAATTTTAATAAAAAAAATTTTTTAGAACTTTTCACATTAAGTTAAATTTATAAAATGAATCCAAAATAACTTCAGATCTAAAAATTATCGATTTTCAAATTAAACATGGTAATGGATAATAGAACTGAAAGTAATGATTACTTACAATCCGTTTGTTGCAGTTTTTATGACTTTTTTCCCTATTTTCGAAAATTGTTTGTCCAAAACAAACCGGAAATGACATAATACACCCAAAGATAGGCAGAATATAATAACTCTTATTGGTTTTTTTTTTTTTAATACATCAATGTGAATCATGTTGTATAAAATCTAAAAAATTTATTTTCAAATAAATACTTCATACGTGAAACAGACGCATGCAAATAATAGTATATATTAAAGAAAACATTTCAAAGGTCTTAAAATTTTATTAACATTCAAAAGGTCTGTAAAGTAAAGTTAATAAAAATCATAAAAATGACATTTTTTTTAATAAAAAATATATTAACAAAAATATTCCTTATAATACCTAGTTTCTTATTATTAGTTCGGATATTTAATTAGTAGGTTAGTAGAGATTAAGTAAGTCTAACGACAGATTGTGACCAAGTTTGTGAATAATTTATATACATTTTTTATTTTATTAATAATTGGGACATAAATGTAACCATTTTTTTTACTCATAATTATACCAAAAAAATATACTTAAAAATTTATTTATAAGTCAGTCCAATGGAGACAATAAAAGAATTGGGTATAATTTCATCTTTATTTATTGTAGTAAAAACAAAAATCATCCCATTGATTTCTTGCTCAGTAATTACCTGTATAAGATTGATAAAAGCAGATACATTTATTTGCAAAATTGGATCAATGGCATAAGGTATTCCTGCTAAAAATCCGGCTAATAATGCAAAATTTGTTGAAGTATTTCGATATTTTTGACAAAGGAAGTTAAATACTAACTGTAAACGTGTTATTAATATTAATTTATATGAGTAATTAGAGTTATGCTAATAACATGTAAAGTTTAGAAGTAACCTCATATATAGCCACGTACGATGCTGTAAAAACTCCAGATTTTAGTATTCTCATTTTAAAAAGCCTATGAATACGTTTATGTGATAAAATAGTTATGTCTCCAACTATAGTACGCAAAATACCCATTGCAAATCCAAAAATGAAATATTGTTTCACTTTCTGAAAAATATATAAAAACATTAAATTTAATTAATTAATATTTTTCTTTATAAAAATTGATAAGATTTATTGTTTATTTGGACATGGGAATAAAATATATAAACATGTAATTAATCATTAAAATAAAAATAATTAATTAAAATTAAAATTAAAAATATTTTAAATAATTTACTTTTTTTTTGCTATGCATCAAAACATAAATAATAATAATTTTTTTTTGAGAGAGAAAAAGAGAAATATTTTAGGTAATAGGAACTAAGAAAATTGTTGCTTATAAATTTGTTTACTACTTCTTCCAAAGTTACAATAAAGTCAACTTAATTACATTGTTTAATTCATTGGAAAATAATTTTTTTCTGATATCATGTTCACTGTTCTTTTTATTAGCATTATTTTTTGGTCGATAAAACCTGCAAAAATAATAATGTAATATAATTATATAATAAAAATTGATCACTTGTGGCTAGTTAATTTTACTTAATATAATTAATTCAAAATATTTGAATTGCAACGTTAAAAATTAGTTCTAAAACTTTTAAAGAAAAAAAACTATATTTCTTACCAACTGAAATTCTCAATTTTTGATTTTTGAGAGAAATACATTAAAAATGCATTTGTTATCATAAAAAATATGGTTTCCGATTTCAAATTCTTGAAGAATATTCCTGAATCTCGAATTTTTAAAATACACGACTCTAAGCTCTATTAATATTATTTTACATACAATTATTTACAAATATTATACATTGTAATACTAACCGCGTTACAGAATATAATTGTTACACTGTTTTGATATTCGTTTGTAAGTACTAGAGAAGAAAGGCCAGCTAAAAATCCTGGAATGAAACATACCGTAAAAAGCGTAAATTTTCCAACTAGATTTCTAGAATGAGAAAAATTTAACTTTTTATATATTAATATAATATATAAATTTATAAAATTGTTACACAATAATAAAAAAATGTAATAATGAAATATTTTCGTTTTGATGTAAAACGACAGTTTCTAAACTGTTTTTTTAAACTAACAGAAATAATTCGCGCTGAATTTTTCATATTAATTTAAATGTTAAGGATATCATTATTACTAAGTTGTGACACAGTTGAATTTTTTTATTATTCTGTCATATCTCAAAATGATTGAGTTGTATGTTGCTAGTTATAAACAGGTCAGAGAGTCTATCTTGCAAGTATATTAAAGGAGTTCCTGGTTTCAAATGCATCTAAAATGTGAACATTTTAATAAATCATTAAATATGAAAATTCATAAATAAAAAAAAAAATGGCCAAAATTCTATCTATGGTATTTTTATTTTTTAGTTATTCATTCAATACTTGAATAGTTATTATTGAGGTGGACATAATGCCCATGCACTCAGACCTGTTGGTCCATTGTGCGCACAATACTTGAATAACTAAAATTATAATATACACAACACGACGTCTATTTATTCTAATAATTATTAAATTTTACGTTATAGTTTATTTATCATAAAAGAGCGTCTACAAATTCAATATTATTTTGTACATAGCTCCAGGCTAATTCAATATAAGAACTGTATTATTTTTTAAAGATAAAATATAACTACATGTATTTATAATAAATTTTGGCGTAATTATATTAATGAAAATTAATTTTCTCTCAAGTCTTTATATTTATTATAATTACTTTAATTTTTAATTATATTAAAAATATAGCACACAAAAAAAAAATAAAATAAAAATACAATAAAAATATTCTAAATTTTCAATCATTTTCATAAATTTTCATAATTAATATACATTTTTTTTATCGTCGTTTTAAAACATAACTAAGCAATTTTGTAATGAATATTTTTAAATATTGTTCATTTAAGATAGTAATTTATTTATTATTTATCTAGTTTTCATCAAATTCTTTATCTTAGATCAAAATTCTAAATTAAAATTCTAATTAAAATATTAATATAAACTAAATAAATATTTAAATAAAAAAAATTAACGAAATATACAAAAAAAAACACTTATACTTTTTAGGAAAAATGTTACCATCATCAGCGATAAACATATTATGACACCTTGACTGAAATTTACTTCTTTATATATTTACTTAGCGACGTCATCACCGAGTCATTTTTGACGTCACTTATTATCAGTTTACTCGAGTTTTAATAATAAACTTAAATGATTAAGATTATATATAAGATTAAATTATTTTTATTTTTAAACATTTCTATTGCCTACCTTATATTAAGTCCTTTGTAATTATAAATTTTTTTTAATTATAAATATCTAATGTTTCTTAAATATTCCTTAGAATTAACTCCTATGTTTTTTTTTGTTTAGCCTACGTAATATTTACCATTATTTTTGCATTGAATTTTGTTAATTCCTGATTTTCTCCCTTTTTCTACTTTTATTTTTTCATTATAAAAAATTTTTAAAGTTATTTGATAAATTAAATATTAATTTATAAAAATTAATTTTGAGACATCAAGTTACCTGATTAAACAGTTAAATGCTACAAATAAAACACAAGCCGATACTCCAAATGTTATCATTTTTAATAAGTCAATAATAAAATTCTTGATATGTTTTTTTTCAAATCTTGATTTTTTAATTTTTACAATGTAATGTCCCTAAAAAATATAATAATACTAAAAATACATCACCTAACAAATACATTATTTTTAAATTATTCCTTTTTTAATTTTACTCCCAATCTGATTAAATAAAATAGAATCATAATATTTATTTGTTCATTGTAATTTTAAAATAGATGATCAACCATTATATCTATTTTAATAACAATATTCTTTTGATAAAGTATTTATTTATACATAAAAATTTATTATTTTCAACAGTTTCCTATATTTTCTATGTAAATTCACTCTAATTTACCAGCATAATAGGAAAGATTAGTTTACTACAACCAACCGTCGCCGACCGTATCATCATCATGTAAGCTTGAAAACAGTTTTGATTCCACGGGTGTATAATTTCTCCACAAGTTCTATGTACAAAATTTTTACTGAAAATCATTTTTAAAACCAAGTTAAAAATTAAATTTTAAACTGCTTATTAAATACGATAAAATTGAAGTCCTTTAAATAATGCACAACTTCTAATGTTCACTTTTAGTGTAACATTGCACTAGAATAAACAGGCCCTACAGGTCAATCATTGACATAAATTAATTGTTGTATATTGTGTTAAGTAGTGAATTAATTAAATCACCATGTTATTTATTTTAACCATAATTTAGTTGGTTAGACATTATTGTAACGTAAATAATCGAAATATATAATAACATTTTATACAATTCATAATTAATTTCACATGAAAAAATTATTTATTTATTGTTTCATCTTTTTTCCTTCAGTCAAGTACAAGTAAAACAATTAATTTTAAAATTTCTATTTATCTATTATTATTATTATCATTATTTATTTATTTAATATTTCTATTACATATTATTCTTAAATTATTAGCTATGTAATACTTTTTAAGTCCATACCTTATGCCTTGTAAGGGTTTTAACTTTATCTTTATAAATGGGAACACATATTTTGTGTTTAATAAAAATGTTGAGTTTTTAATTTAATAGTTAATGGTATTCAAATTTTTAATATAACATTATTTGTTTATTAGATATAAAATTTTAAAGTTTCAAATTTTTGAGTTAATATACACGTATAATACACGACGAATTACAAATACAGGAAGCTAATTGATACGCGGAATTTATTATTAGTGGGAGATTGTAGTGAGTTTATAATTAAATTATTTTTATTCTATAAGTAATTGAGTGGGTTACGATAAAAAAAATCACACTGTTTAATAACTTAAAAATATTTCATTGAAATCATGAACAATTTATTTTACAATTACTTTTTACGTTTTAAAATATAACATTTCATTAATTAAGAAAGAATGATCTACAGTTATTACTATTGTTGATTTCGACCTACGTACTTTAAATCATAATAAACTGCATTTCATTATTTTAGCATCTTTTTAGAATTTTTAGTAGTAACTAGTATTTATTATAATAGTCCAGCATGTTTATATTAAAATATTTTAGTTTTTTAATTTATTTCATAGTTTAGAATCGAAATATTTATAAATATTACAACACACATTAATTAACAAAAAACACATTATTTTATTTAGTGCTCTGAATTTAAATCAATTACAATAGTTAACTGTCATGGTTTTTGGTAATATTTTGATTGATTTAAGTTTTAATCTCAATATAATTCTTTGTAAAAAAAAAAAAAAAATGTTTTCATTAATCTACTTCTTCAACGTTTGGTCCTTTAGCGCCAGCTTGATGAAGTTTAGTCATTATTGGCGAACATTCTTTTTGTAAGTCTTTCAGTTTATCTTCAAATTCTTCTTTGTCTGCTAAAGTGTTAGTCTCCAGCCAAGTGACAACAGCTTTACATCTGTAAATGAGGTGTAATGTTTAACTCGCATAACATTTTTTTATCTTTTGTTAACCTACCTGTCTAATACACTTTTCTTGTCTGTTTCGGACAACTTAGAACCAGCTTCCTCAACCGCCTGTTTTACACTAAATGCATAACTTTCTAGTTGATTTCTAGCTGTTATACGTTCTTTTTGTTTTTCGTCTTCTTGTCTATACATTTCTGCTTCTTTTAACATTTTATCAATGTCCTCTTTGGATAGTCGACCTTTATCATTTTTAATCGTTATCCGCTCGGATTTACCAGTACTGTTTTCTTTTGCCGACACGTTAAGTATACCATTAGCATCAAGATCGAAAGTAACTTCTACTTTCGGTACTCCACGTGGAGCTGGTGGGATTCCAGTTAAATTGAATGTTCCAAGAAGATTATTATCTTTGGTCATTGCACGTTCACCTTCAAACACCTATATATGCCGACACATGTATTAAACAAATTACAAAAAATCATTAGACAATATCTCTATGGAAAAACTATTACTTGAATTGTTACGGCTGATTGGTTATCTGAATATGTCGTGAACGTTTGCTGTTGTTTACACGGAATGCGAGAATTGCGTTCGACTAATTTAGTCATAACACCTCCGGCTGTTTCTATACCCAAAGAAAGAGGTGTTACGTCGACTAGAAGTACATCTTGTATTGCAGAGCTAGTGTCTCCACTTAATATAGCTGCTTGAACGGCCGCACCATAAGCAACAGCTTCGTCGGGGTTAATAGACAAGTTCAATGATTTACCACAGAAAAAATCCTAGAAATTAAATGCTAGAGTTATATTATTTTTAAACATAGCATAAATAAATATAGAATAATTACTTGTAACATTTTTTGAATCTTAGGAATTCTAGTAGATCCGCCGACTAACACAACATCATGAATGCTACTTTTGTCCATTTTAGCGTCAGCCAAAGCTTTTTCAACAGGTGACAAAGTTGATCTGAACAGGTCCATACACATCTCTTCAAATCTAGCACGAGTAATTTTTGAATAAAAATCAACACCATCGTGAAGAGCATCAATTTCAAGTGAAGCTTCCGTACTGGATGACAACGTCCGCTTTGCTCTTTCACAAGCTGTTCGAAGTCTTCGCAGTGCTCTGGTGTTTCCACTTATGTCTTTTTTACACTTTCGTTTAAATTCTTCAACGAAGTGAGTTACTAAACGATTGTCAAAATCTTCTCCTCCCAAATGGGTGTCACCAGCTGTAGATTTTACTTCGAATAGAGAGCCCTCATCAATAGCCAAAATTGAGACATCAAAAGTACCACCACCTAAATCGAATATCAACACGTTCTTTTCGCCCTTTAAGTTTTTGTCTAAGCCGTAAGCCAATGCGGCAGCTGTAGGTTCATTGATAATACGCAATACATTTAGCCCAGCAATAGCTCCAGCGTCTTTAGTTGCCTGTCTTTGAGAGTCATTGAAGTAGGCTGGTACGGTAACCACTGCATCGGTTACCTATCAAATAACAAAGATATTATTTGCAAATAACTGTATTAAAAAAAAAGGTATGAAAACATACTTTTCCACCTAAGTATACTTCAGCAATTTCTCTCATTTTGGTCAACACCATGGAGCTGATTTCTTCTGGTGCAAATATTTTTCTTTCGCCTTTGTATTCAACTGCAATTTTCGGAAGACTATTTTCATTTACTACTTGAAAAGACCAATGTTTCATATCAGCTTGAATTTTTGGATCATCAAATTTACGTCCAATTAAACGTTTAGCGTCAAAAACTGTGTTTTTCGGATTCATAGCGACCTAGTATTAAAATATAATATATTTTAATTTAAAATATATGTATATATATATATATATATTATTTTTAAATTAAACATTTTTTTTTGTATTTGTCATAAGTATGTTATTGCATAATTATTTCAAAATATTATAGCGATTTCTATAAAATATGACATTTGTATAATCTTTAAATTTAATATGAGATTACTTTTTTTTTTTTATTAATTTAAAATTTTCCTGACACCAGTTAAAAAAAGTCACGATGATAAATTTTTTTTTTAAAAGACATAGAAACAAGTTATTTTAAAACATATAATACAATATATATTAGCTAAAAGTTATATTATAATAAATATTTAATTATAATACTTATTTCATAAATTCTTAATTTGTTTATTTTTTCATATAAAGTTATGTGATCTTCCTCTTTTTAGACAACGGTTTTTTAGATTTTTTACTAAAAAATGAAAGTAGGAGATAGTATTGTATTTCGGTGCTTTTATTTACTCTAGTGAGACAAATGATGTATTTAACTTCAAAGGTTTCCCATCTATATTTCTATCAATTATTAAGAAAACATCAAGGGTTATGAAGTGAAAGATACAACAGACACCCTTACTTCCATACAACAGAAGTACATAAGAGCATACTTGTTATTTATCGGTAACAAATTGTTATAATAAAATATAAATAAATGAAAAATACATTTTACTGAATTAAATTACTCTTATCTAATTATAATCTGTAAAATTTTTAATTTAAAAATATTTAATGTTTTTTATTATAAATATAACTCTCAATAAATAGTATTATTATAGCTAAACAATTATCTTTAATATACTATTATTGTTTTTAAAAAGCAAATTATTTTGAGAATATAAGAGAATCGATCCTATGACAGTGTGATACCATCATTAAAATGACTTTAAATATAATAATATTAATTATTCAAATATATTAATAAATTTTTTGATGAATGTAAATTTACTCGTTCAATAAATTTTCGGACTTAATGTTTTACACTCATTTTTATCTCGGTATAATTGTTTTATAATTTTACATTAATTTACATATTATAACAAAGTAATCTTATCTAAGAATTACGGTCGTATATTTCAATATATAAAAAAATACTTTATAAAAGAAAAAATCTGCTACATGTATTTTAATTGTGTAATTTAGACGACCTTTAACACTCAACTTTCGAGTTGGCATAGAAAATATTAAATTATGTTAAGTGTTTTGAATAAGAACTTGTTTAGCCTGTAGTCAACATAGTTTTATAATTCTACCTACAAATTAAAAAAAAAATGAATTCCTTTAGTTTATCGTATGGTTAAGTATTATATTGTATTTATTTTAATATCAGACATTGTATTAGGCCTCTAAATAAATAGAAAACTAAGAACCGTGTGCATTTTCGGTGAATGTCAGTGATTCATCGATTGAGGGCCGACTTCCATACATGGACACCATCTTGTCTTACACTCACGCATGTAGAATCCCAATTTGGATATTGTAGTGGACAACAATATTAAATTATAATTATAACAGTGCGAGGTTATTATTTTAATAGTTAGAAAACTTTTATTTTAGCCTAGTGCTCTTAACTCATTTTATAAAAGATTAATAACCTACTCCAGAAATAGATTCCGCACAAAACGTTTTAGTTCATAAGTCAAAAATAATATCAAAAATAAATAAATTCAGAATTTTATGTAACATTACACATCCGCGAATGTGTCATCGTTATATTTTGGGTATTCTAGCAGGCGTCAGCGCGTAGGTGGGGATAAGCACGTCTTATGATATTTTTTTTAGACCCGAGTCTACTATAATAATATCGGCATCTTTAGTGGGCGAAAACCGTTTTCGGTTGCCAAATATACAAACATACATGCCGTTTACTGTTAATTTAACAATATAATAAGAAAGAAACGTTTTGATTAAAACTTGTATGTTCTTTGCACAATTGAAAAATACAGATCATATATGAATCATCATTTATTAATGATTTTTAGACAGTTTGATTATAGTTTTAATTAAATAATATATATAGTTTTAACTTCCTTTTTAACCATTCAAGTAAGATACGTTTATTTTTTTAGTGGTTATTTTGGTGGGAATTTATTTTTTAGTATTAGAATTAAAAAAATAAACTGAAAAAATATTTGAAAACGAGCTCTATTTGAGATCTATAAGATAAAATTAGAACTAATTAGAAACACATCCTTTTAACAGTCATTTGAAATTTGTCAGGAGATAAGTAAAATATTTTCAAATTATTTTATAGAATTTTTATGTATTTAAAAATTTCACTAAGTTATTCCTACACATCTTCAGTCAATACATGTTTGTATTAAATATTTGAAAATTTAGTTATATGTTGTTACCGTCGTTATAGTTTTAGGGTAATATTGGGGTTTAATTCCCCCCAATACATAAAATATTTCTAGGCTACTATATAATCCTACGACACTGTTGCACAGAATTGGGATCCTTCAAAGTGACACTAACAATATTTGTAAATGCATATAACGACATGCCCTATGCATTATAGTCGTCAATTTTAAAATATTTTGGTGTTAAGCAATATGATAGTTAAAGACTGATAATATTTACAATTACAGTAATTTAGATTTTCATTTTTCTATAACTTAAATTATGTATGCTACTATAAAAATTATATCCAACATAACAGTTTTACTAGTTTCTTTTTAGGTTATTCACTTTTTTAAATTTAAAATTTATTTTTTATTAAATTTTGTCAATGTTTCAATCACTGATATTTGTTGTCAATTGTAAATAAAACAAAGAGATATAAATATAAAATTTTATGTTGAAATTAATGAAAATATTTTTTTATAATCGCAAATTGATTAAAGATAATGCATTTTTTAAAACCAATGAGGCAATATGACTAGCATTTTAAGAATTTTTTTAAGAAGACTTGACTTTTTTTTAAATTATTTTTTTGTATATACATCAACAAAGAAAAATTATCTCAATAAATAACAATAGTATTATTACACGCTGCAATGTAAACCACACTTCTTTTAAATATTATTTTCTTAGATATAGATGCCAGTTTAATTATAAAAATAATTTATACGAAATACGACAACATCGATTTGGAATTTATAACCTCTGGACAGCTGCTTTAATTCTTTGGTAATTAACTTACTCTTTTAAATAATGATAAAATTTATTAGACTATTTGAATTATTAAGTTGTAAAATCCAATTATATGGTTTGATATTGATAAAGAAGAGAATATTATCCATCATATTAATTTGTTAATACTCTATTACTACATTTAAATTAGTCCGATTTCATCGTGTGTAATGAATCCTCTGCATACCTGACTTTTAGCTGCATCTCCAATCAGTCTTTCTGAGTCAGTGAATGCAACGTAGCTTGGCGTTGTTCGATTTCCCTGATCATTGGCAATAATTTCCACTTTGCCATGCTGCCAAACACCCACACACGAATATGTAGTGCCTAAATCAATGCCCACAGCTGGAACTTTGCTCATTTTACTTTTTTAATTATTATGATAATTAATTTAATAATTAATTAATTCCAAATGAATCGTTTGTAACACAAACGAAGCTGTAAATTGACTGCGCGATGGAATGGAAGGAAAGATGAACCGCTAGAATTTTCATGTTATTTATACTTTTTCGGCGTGTCCCTCCATCGACCATTTGAGACCTATCCAATTGTGGATCACTGGAACCACGCCTAAGGTCATAGCAACCACATTAGTGTTCGTTCATATTGTAAACGCGGATTTACACATTAAGAGTTTGCAACGATTTATTTCTTTAGATTTATATCTATAATGTAATATCATCATTTTTATGATATTAAGTATGAAATATAAATTACAAAATGTTCAATAAAATAGAAATGTTAAAAATAAATACGCAAATAAGATACATGACATTTCATAAAAATACGAAACGTTATTATAAAAAGCTCAATTATATTAATAAGTATTTTGCCTTGAGTTATTAAAATATTTTTAATTACATGTAAAAATTATTCAGTTGTCATCCCAATAAGTTATTATTTGGCAACAAAAAGTTAAAACTTAAATATCTTTAAAAGTACCATTGCGTGTATTTGTGTTCTAATTTTGACTCTATAAAAACAAATAAATACACATATATATTTTAAAATAATTTAAAAATTGTTAGTCTGATACTGATACATAAATGTTGCTTTCATAATTTATTTATACTTTTTGTTTTTATAATCTAGCAAAATAAATTTTTATAATTTTAACACCATTTTGTTACGCCATTTTGGAATTGCATAATTTCGATCGATACAATAAATTATTTTTTTTAGTTTTATATATTTTTCAATTATCAATTATTAATTACTTTTTAGCATCGTCTCCTAAAACTTGTAGATCTGTAAACTTCATTTATTTTAATGAAAATATATATATTTACTAACTTACAAATAAGAAAATGACAGTTCGATGACTTTTTAACCCGTACTTTAGATGTTTTGACGATTTTAAAATATATACACGGATAAAGACGAGGCCATGACTAATTATATCACTAGACATTTCTCGGTCACCCTCTTCCATAAAATCTAACAATGTGTAAAGTATCATAGAGGAGAAGGTTAAAATTTAAAGAGAGTGATTGGTCAATAATAACATTTGGACTAACATTTCATGATTAATTAATTTTTCTATTCCTAGTAGGATGTAGGAGTGAAGCGGAGAAATATCTAGTGATAAAAATAGTAACATCCGCGTCTCATCTCCTGTCATTACTTTACATTTTTAATAACTTTTGAAATTAGTTTAAAAGTTGTATCATTCAGTCATTTTCTTAATAAGTTCATTATAAGAGTTTTTCAGTAAGTAAGCAAATATGTCAATTGATACAAACAATGAGAACAACAGAAACCAGTTTACTTATTTAATGAACACCTTATATAGTAAATAAACTAATTAATTATGTATGTATATTTGCATTATTGAAATAATTTGTAAATATTTACTGCATTATGTAATATGTTCAAATTTGTAAATTGGGCTTGTCCCGTTAAACTATATAATAATAATATAATATTATAGAGAGCATCAGATGTTCAACCAGCGAAGAAGAAGGCAATGATAGTCATATAAAAAAGATCTCTTTGATGTACAATTATGTTGAGTTTTTTGTACAAAGATTTTCCACTTGAATTCATTAGAAATTCATCGCATAAAATGCTTGATTGTTTTGAGATCTCAACAAACTTTTTGGAAACATATCCAAGTACATCAGAATAAAATTTAGATTTTAAAAATTAACTCTCTTTGAAGATAAAAAATTATACTGCCGAAGATGAAGTTAAATTGATAGTTATTTTTTTTTTACAATTATGTTCAAAAGTTTAAGAACAAAACACAATACACTTCGTAAGTAAAAAAATACGGTTGAATATAAATACATTGAGTTTTTAGGTCCTAAACGAATACTGGCAAATTTATTTAGCCATGACATTTCGAATAAACCATTTATTAACCATTTATAATTAATCTATAATTATTACTTCGTAATTTATATCGAATTCTTGAAAAGATTGCGTCTATAACTATAAAACCGTCAGCCGAAACATTATTTTCAATTTCTAATCGTGTAATATGAACAAAAATGTATCAGCAAAAAAGTCAGTTCCATCAAATAAATTAAAAATTGTTTATTTTAATCTTTTTTCCAAAAAATAAACGATTTATGAAAAATTTATTAGATACACTTTTTATATGAAATGTGTAGGTATTTTATATTTTATGTTGTACATGGTTTCACCGTAAAATACTTTATAATAAAAAGTACGTCAAATAAAAGAAGTATATATAATGTACTTAGAAAAAAAATTTGTGTTGAAACATACATATTTCGAAAAGTTAAAGCAGTAATTTAAAGTTGAAAATTTAAAATCGAAATTCGAAAATTTTAACACAAAAATAGCATTTTTTTAACTACGGCAGTAGTTTGCACGTAGAAGATAAGGTATCGGGACAATTTTTTTTATTTCGTTTTATTGTTTATGACATAAGTTTTAATTTTATATATGTTTAAAGTACGCGACAGCAATAATTTAATGTTTTTTAGTTATATTTTCACATATAAATGTTTCCAACTATTTAACTGTATACGTAAATAAAGTAGCTCAACAAAGTAGACAAATTCAACATAGAAAAAAGGTTAAAGAACATTTTTATTATTATAACGTAATTATTTTCATGAACACATTTATTGATTATTTTTTATTAAATTCATTATACGTGTGACGGTAAACACGTTTATAAATAAAAAACAACTAAAAAATATAATATCAATTTAACATTCAATAGTAATAATACATATTTTACCAATTAAAATAAATGCATTTTGATATACAACTTAACATTGCAATGCCAAGTATTTTTCTTATCACATACATGTCATTTTTATTGTACAATGTATATGTATGATTTTTAAAGCGAATATCCCTTAAATATTTATACATATACAAATTGCCTAAAAATGAATTATTTATATATTAGGTTAGGATGCCGTCATCACATTCATCTATGAATACAGCTGACGTTCTAGAAGCAATATCTGCGTATTCTCTTGGTCCCAAACTACAAAGTTTATTGTCTTCTTCGATGCCTCTTTTACTGTAATAAATAACAGCTTTATTACAATCAAAACTAATTTATAATAAGTGATTAATTATTTCTATGTATAATATCAAGAATTAAGTAGAATAAAATACCACTTTAACGGTTGATCAATATTTCAAATTTTGCAATAAATAATATAAATTTTGAGATACGTTAAAGCTTTCATGAAGTTAAATTAATGCAACTACAAGATTTTAAATTATGGATAGATGGCGTGACATTTGTATATTATACTTGGAATTTTCTAACTTAGATGGCGTTAACGTACAAGTTAAAAATATTCTATTCGATATTCAATGATGGATTATACTTGAGACCCAAAGAAAATTATGCTTGTAAAAAAATAATTAAAATTATTTTTTAACATTATTTAATATTGTCAATTTATATAACATCAGTTTCAGATAAAATGATCAAATAGAATATAATTTAAAGAGCCTATAAAAATACAAGAATAATTAAATAGTATTCAATTATTCTTGCATCGTACCTCTTGTATTTTACGCATAACTTTTGAGTTATAAAAAAATATTATTATTATAGTAATTAATTATAGATCTATAATTACCCCCTATTAATTTCATCTACTGCTTCTGTTACTCCAATACTTGACACATAAAGATGATCATTACACCAGAAAAAACATATAGATCTGGGCTGTAACACGTCCATATCATATTCCCAGTAAAATTCTACTCTTTTTACTTTACCAATATCGTCTGGATGAGTGACAACAAAACTTCGGGTGGTTCCATGCTCCATTTTTTCGTAACCACTGATAATATATAAGTTTTAAAATTAAAATTTAAAAAAATGTTTGATTTGATATTTTATTTTACTTTGGTGTTAGGTCTAGGTTTCTAATGACACCATTGTCACTATGCAATGACACCTTCATAAATCCTTGTACCCAAGATTCAGCTCTTGGAGGTTTCGCCAAATTTAATGTAACTTTGTATTGACGTCCTGTATAAATATATATTTATTTTTATAACGCGTAGAACGAAATAAAAATATATGAAAATTATTAGGGCATATGATAATATTTACAAATATTTCATTATTTAATTTTACTTAAAATATAAAGTTACACACTGGTATATTTACAGTATTTTTACCAACTAATAAGTCTTAAAACGTATTTAAAAAAGTGGATACTTGATAACTAGAATATTAAATATAGGGCCATAATTTGTATAAGCCATAATATAGATTTTTAGAATGTGTATGCAATAGTATGAGGAAGAGTTTAGGATAAAACCGAATAATATAAACACATAGGCCAGTCATAACTGTAATGTCTACTAGAGATAACAAATAAAATGAATTAAATTCTTCATTGAAGAAAACTTGATTATAAGAATATATAAGATAAATAATGGGCATTTGTGTTTTTCCTAGAAAATCATTACACATTAACGCTAAATTCATTATCTCATAAATAAAATTTTCTTACTTCATATTGTAATATTTGTATGACTTACTACAATAAGGAGTATCTTTTCCAGTAGATATGAAGTATTTTGAACCTGGAGCTAAATTAGGTCTTACAGTATTTAAGCCCATTATGGCACATCCTGTCTCATTGTCTTTACATGAAAAACATTTTCCCTGTACAGAATAATGAAATATTATTAAAATTGCCTAGCATTTATATTTGATAGTAAATAAAATGATTATAGAGATTAAAGGTGTAAAAATTATTTTTCCAGGAATAAAAGTATTTAAAAATAATTAATTTGTCTTTTATCTATACTGACAAGTTTGATAAATTTTCTAAGGTTATATATACATTTTTACGCTTAATACTTTCTCTTTAATTTTAAAACTCGATTCGGTAGTTACATTTAGCCTTATGTTTGGTCTTTTCTTATGTTTCATATTTAAAAATGTAGTAGTCATTAAAAATAATTTATTCTGTTATCATGTATTTTTATAAATTAAATTTGTATAGAGATAATAAATTAGATATTTTTTTCTAAATTATAATAAAAATTAAGATTATTGTTAGTTATTTTATTGGGTTTTAATAATTTTAAAAAAATGTTATATATTTTATCTTGATATTGTAAACTTAATATTATTTTTTATTTACTTGTAAAAAGTTTTGGTACGAGTTGCACCTATGGGCAACGTACGGACATTTTGAGTTTATAGACTCGGTAAAGAGCTTTATTGCCCTCACGTGATTACATGCTACCAAAACTCGACTAGCTTCTTCGATTCCTTCTTTGATAAGTGTAAGTGGTAATGGAGTTTCAGTCAAGTCACAACCTGGTTGTTCTTTACCATTATTTGGATAAAAGTCGATGTGACCACATGGTTCGCTCATACCATATCCTATAAATAAAACTAGATTTACTAATAGAAAACTATAATTTTTAGGCTTTCAATATCTATGTTATTATTTTAACACATTTACTAATCCATTTAATTACATAGGGGTTATTTCTAATTATGGCTCAATCGATAAAAAAGATAATGGTAGTAGTAATTAATACGACTCAAATTTGTAGTATGCAATATATAAGTTTATTTATTAATCCCTTTTGTTTATTGCGTATATTATAATATGAAGTTTATCGTGTTAAAAAAATTTAATTTGGAAAAAAATTTAAATCTTAGTCAAATTCTTAAATTAAAAATACGAATATGTTCAACTTAAAAAAAAAATTATGAACCTAAAACTAAATATAATAATAGATTTCACAGTTGATTATATTAAAAGAATAGTGTGATTAATATTGAATCAATCACATAATATAATAAAAACATACTTAATAAATAATGATAAATCGTGTTATGCCAATTCTAATATACATAAAAATTATAAACAAATTATTTTAGATACTTAGTAACCAATATAATATAGTAATAATAATATTATATATTACATGTATAATATTAAATATGGCAACAATAATAGTAATAATATAAATAAATATTGTATAAAATCTCACCCAAAAGAAATATTGATGACCCATCTGTATGTATGACGTCCACCAACTGTGCATCTGTTGGATCTAGTCTAGCATGAGGGGGCATTCCTTGGAAATAGGGCTCAGCCGGATCGAGCCCAGTTATCCGACCAAGACCCTCTACCCGCTCTCCAGCAAAACCAGCTGTATGAGCTCCAAGACTATGTCCTATCAGATGAACATGTTTCGGATTAAGACCCATATTGTCCTGGCATGAAGTGAATAAAAGATTAAAATTATAAAAGTATTATTTAAGCATATTAATATACTCAAAGGACAATTTATCAGAAATCGATGCATCGAGTGATATAAAAATATGGTATTTTACGCATTATACAATAGTACTTTAGATAAAACGTTCAATAAAATATGTATTTTATTTTGATAAATACAGAATATTATTGTATATTTAAAAAGATATCATTATTTATATTTTTATTAGCTACACTGTAAACTCACATTATTTTAAATAAAGATCTCATTAAGAGTAAAATTAATACTGAAAATATTATTTGTCGATCTTTTTTATTAAATCAAAACATCCGACTAAATTACTAATACACGTCTGATTAATTATTATACAACGTATATAAGTAACTCCAATATAGCCCAACTTTTTAAAGTCCAATAAAAAAAATAAATCATCAGATTTATATTAAACTATTTTTTTGACGAGTATTTTTAAATTATATTGCTTTTTTAATAATTATCATCGTGTAAAAATAACTTTTCAGTTAAAAATAGATTTATTACTTTTAAGTAGTTTATAAAATATGCGATTTCTAGTCCCACTAGTCTTGTATTAGCTGTTGCTTGAGTGTATAGTGGCAATGATCCACCGGCCCAATCTACCACAATTACGTTCCAATCAGAATGTTTAAGCAATTCCCTTCTCATTTCCTACAATAATGTACATAATATATTTTAATTCATAGTTATATAGATTAAAAATAATTTACTATAAAAAAAATATAATTATAATTATTAAAGAAATTATGTGGTAATGTTTTGACACGGTTAATTTTATTTTTAAAGTAGTAGTTATCTTGATTCTTTAATTCAAGGACAAAAACTGTTGTCTACATTGGGTCGTTGGCCGAAGGTTTACTTCAGATACCCTTTCTTATTCAAAAAGTTTACACATGCGGCAATGTTTTTTGTTTTAAATATACGAGTATAAATAACTTCAATTATATGTTTTAAACGAAATAAAATGATCAGTATTATACTTTTGAATATTTATTATAAAAAAGATGACTATGAAAAATTTAATAATAACCTTGACCCTATACAGGGAATCTTAACAATTAAAATTAAATTCATGTAAAAATCGGGTCCTTATTAGATTTTTTTTATTTATAAATAGTCTTAATTACCTTGACCCAATTGCTTAGTGGAGTATCAATAAATCCATGTATGATGAATTTTGTGGGCTTTTTAGGATCCAAATTTGACTTTTGTATTGTTTTTTCTGATTGGACTTTTAACATTTGACCCTGTAAAGATTTAAAGATAAGTGTTTATTATACAATTTTATTTAGAATTTAGTTTAATTGTGATTATTTTGATTTACAATCAGGAACCCTGAAATGGAGAGGAAATAAATGAGTTTTTTTCTCTAAATATTAAGTATACTTCTATTTGACTTTTTCAGAAATATTTTTAATATCAAATGACCTCATTGTTCTATCTATTTAATTTTATTACTGTGTTATTAATTTAATATTTAAAACTACATATAATTTTGTCAGTGAAATAATTTACAAAATTATATAAATTTATACATTTTGTTAGGTTCATCAATGATACTAGAGTAATTTCATTAATGAATGTAATGTAATGTAATGTAATGTAATAATACTATATCGGTTATACTGAGATATTTAAACGGATATAGTAGTTATACGGCGTACCCTGCAGCTAGCTTAATAATTTAGCGTTTTATTTAGAGGTGGATCAAAAACAATTGATCAAAAAAACACTACTCAGCCCAAAAGAATCGAACTTGGTGCCCAAAAATTTTAAATACAAACATTTTGCATTGTAATATGATTTTGTTTTTTTTTTTTTAATATATCTCAAAATGATATAAACTACAAAAACACTGAAAAATTAATTCTTACATTAAAATTTTGGTATTTAGAATAAATAAATACTCAAGAGGACCATATATATTGCATGATTTAGATTTATTAGTAATTTTTTTAAGTTATTTTAAGGATTTGAAAAAGTATTCTCGGAGTATTTAGGAAATCATTATGTTCAAGTATACTCAAAATTATTCTAATAAGTAAAATAGTGATATGAACAAATTTAAATAATTTTAAAATCTATAGAAGAATGTTTGATTGTTATCTGTTTTTGACATTGAAGTTTTTGTCCTTGATAAACAAAACTATTTTTCAAATTACTTTAGAATTAAAATGTTTTTTTTTTTTTTTTTAATTAGAATACACAAAAACATTATTATCAGTGACTGACCTTTGATTACATAAATTTATATTTTTTTAGTAGTCTTTGATATCTATAAACCTGAACTCTGATTTTTTACCTTTAAAATACAAAAATATGTAACATCAAAAAAACATTTATTATAATGAAAAGTATTTATTTAGCACAAAAAACTTGTATATAATTATTAAACATTGCACTAAGTTAAATTTTTTAGTAAAAACAATGTTTTTTTATTTGATATTTAGATTGAAGTTACTCACTCTGGTTCTTCATCGAATAATTATCCAAAATTGGCTGTCGACCAGTAAAATGTTTCCATTAAAAAATAATCTAAAACTTTGTTTTTAATCAAGTTTTGATTAAAAAATATAAAAATTATACTTCTATAATTTTTAATTCAAGGTCGTATTGCAACCTATGTGTAACAAAGTATTTGTCTAAAACCCAACATTTTTTTGGAAAGTTTTGAAGTATTAGCCAGTAATCTAATTTTAGTTTCATATTTGATATAAAATCAAATAAACCCAGAGACTCCAAGTCTAACCATACTTATAATTGTATTTTAAACATTTTTGATATTATAATGTCTAACAAACCAAATAAAAAAAATGTTCAAACAATTATTAAAAACTTTAATGGAATACAATGACATATTTTTACAATACTAATTTTAAAAAAGGGATATTATAAATTGATAAACTTAAGTTGGTAAATCAAATTAAAATAGTCAAAAATTCTGTATGTATGAATAAATTGATTGTTATCAACTTATATAATCAATAATAGTACCTGAATTGGGTTCTTCCTGGTGTATAGGATAAATCGAGTGTCGATAACTTGTCTAGCCAATGGAAAAACATTGAATGGTCGATAAATTAAATGGTACCATTCTCGAGTTATGTTCAAACATCCTAATTCATCATAGCACCTCGTTTCATTTTCAACTAAATAAAATATTTTGAAAAATCAAAACATCGTTTTAAATTCATTAACACCTTTTTCTTAATGACATTTTATTAAGTACTATAATTAGCAAGATAACTTTGTAAATTTTATGAACAAAAAAAAAATTTAATTTCAACAAAATTCAAGTATTTTATAGTTATTTTCAATTAAATTTATTAAATATAAATGCTAAGGGAAAATAAATGTAGTGTTGTAATTAATAAAATTCTCAAAAAAAAAAAAAATAAACGCATTACATAATGGATATTAATCAATTATTAAGAATTAATTCCTAAAAAAAACCTGTCATATTATTAATGTCTCAAAAAAGTTCTTATTTCGTTGGTTATTCTTTACTTTATTAAGTATGAAATATTTGCGTAATTTTTATTTTAAAAGCTTACATTTTTATAATTGCATACAATTTTTATCTTATATTTTAATTCAAATAATAATTGCTACACAACACTTTCTCTTAATTTGTTTGCTCTCCTTTATCTTACATATATTTATGATCGATCACAATCAAACCATAATTATCTGTTAATTGCCATTATTGAACTTCCGATTTATCGTGATTGCGTAACCTTTTTTTTTTTTTGTATTTTAAATAGTCATACAAATTTATAAAATACATTATAGATAACTCAGTACTAAGAATTCATTTAATAAAACAAAAAAAACTGTTAAGATAATAATTAAATCAAATGTTTACAAGCTATTTTAGGTTGTTAATTTTATTGAATAATATCAATCTATTGATGGCTTATTTAATAGGTAGAATAGAATAAGTTATCATGATAAATCAAACATTAATCATCGATTATACGCCATTGTTGTAGTTATTCACTATTGTACGAATTCTTCTTTTTATCGCTTATATATTTGAAATTTCTCTTAAGCTTTGTATTGTTCTCGGCTTTACAAATTACCATTATTTAACATCATCGTCACTTAAAATTTATTGACGGTTTTTTTTAAGCAAATGACCGAATCAGACGAAAGGCATTCTACATAGCTCGACCAGGAACGCATTGTTTCGATGTATACGTATCGAGGTTCCTTTCCAAACCGCCGAGCTCTGTAGGATTTTCCGTCCTACCGAACATAAATGTTTAGTTACAAAATTTAGTGGAATAAAGACAAGATTATTTATAACCGTTTATACAACTGAAAACGGCACATGTATTTATCTTCCAAGCGATTAAGTTGAACTAACTTTCAAAATATAGGCGAATAATCTAATTGACTACTCAAAGAGGTGATTTTAGAGGAAACGCATCTGTTTTGTTTATACAAGCAATATTGACACTTTGTGATGGTTATAAGAGATACAAAAGGATTATCGCTAATGAATATCCATTTTTATTTGGTTAAATGCGTTATATTAAAATTTTACTCACATGGTAACCAAGGTATATTGACTTCTATGTGATTGGATCGTCCCCATTCGATAATACCCGCAGCGCTGGGTCGCGCTAACGTCACCAGCATCGTTACGCACAAAGCCACATATTCTGCGACCATACCTCCTGCAGATACACCAAATGAAAACATGAAAAACACTTATTATGTATGTTATGTGGCCAAGCACTCTAATTCTTATTTTACAAGTAAAATGCATTAGGCACCCTACTGCAAATACCAATAAAGTCTGCTAAATCTTTAAGGCTACTTAATTCATTGTCGACCTACTGTTGGATTATTAAAACAAAAAATTCCCTAATAATTATTTTTTACAATTATTTTTAAAATATTTACAGAAAATATAATTTTACACATTTTTTTTTTCAATTATTGAATTTTTTAATGTAAATTTCCAAGGTTAAATCATCATAAATTTATTTTATTTATTTTGATGTCAATTCATCAATAATTATTGACCAAAGATAAAACTTTAAAAAGACAATACAAAAAAGTCATCAAAAAGAATTTGTAAAAAAATAAGAATTAATTATTAATGAAAATAACTCAACTTTGCGCTCAACCAAAGTTTTTATTACATATTATTGTACGATTACAATAAAACATATGCTTATTTTCATTTTTACTGTTGACTTTTAAATTCTTAACAGCTATTTAGAAAAAAAATCAACCAACTATTTACAAATTTAACTTTTCTTCGAATAAATAAAAACTGCGAAAAGTGTCAAATCAATATTTAATTTCTTAAATCACAGGATGATTTATTAAGCATACTACTCTTCATTTTTCGTTAAATAATATTTTAGCATCGATGCAGAGCTGAGAAGGTGTTAATTTTACTATGATGTGTTTTTTTTTATATATATATTTGTCGCCACTTTTTCTCAGCACTCACCGGACTGATTTCTCGGTATTTCCAGAGAAATCGGTATAAAAAATTAATATAAAATGACAGGGAAATGTATTACCCTTTCATTTTATGCAGATTTTTTTAAAACCTATACTAACAGTTATATAATAGAGCATTCAGATAAAACTCAGAAGAGAGCTCATTGTTACACTTAAAAAGCTATATATTAAATAAACTTATGACTAAAAATGTATTCTATCATTTTAATGAACCACTAAAAAAAAACAATATATATAAAACTGAGTTTCTAATTGATAAAAATAATTTTAGAATATAAGAAGAAAATTTGAAGAATCAAATTCCGCATCAATAGAAAACTTTACAATACTTTTTTATTGGTAAATTATTAAATAAAAAATAATAATAAATAAGGTATTCAAAAAAATAATAATTTAATTTGATTTTGAAAGACTCAGTTTAGGAAAAAAAACAATTTTTAAATCGACGAGTTTAGTGTAAGTAAAATAAACTATACATTATCTTCTTAATTTTAACACAATATTATTAAAAATTTAAAAGTACTAGAGAAACATAAATTACATAATGCCTTTTAAAATTGATTAACTCAAGTTCAATTATCTTTTGTATGTGACATCTTACTCTATTTTACTTAAGTTTTATTGGATGTTTAGAAACAATATTTAGAAAAAAATTAAATAAAAACAAAATCAATATCTAATTATAAGCCAAATAAGAGTTATTTACAAAAAAAAAATTTCTTTTTTTAAATAAATCTCAATGAGAAACATATTTTTCTTAAATATAATTATGATATTATGTATAGTAATTATATATAACGAGAAAAACTTTCTTTCTATTATTCCTACAATTAATTAATTAATTCTATTTAACACTTAATAATTAATATATTTCACAGTAGATTTATTATGTGATTGTTAGGAATTAAAAAAATATATTTCAATACGGTTGGACACCTGATCATGTCAAAAATATTCTGAACACAATATCTAAAATCTAAAAATTATCAACTGTTTTTAACAGAAAATATAAGATGTTTTCGCGAGTGCAATTTAAATGTATTATTTTATAAAATCTTTCGTAAAAGCAATTTAAAATTCAAACAATATCTTTTGGTAGAAATAATTTTTATAGATAGCTAAATATTACGCCAGTAATAGAATTATGAAAAACATTAATTAATTAAATAAAACATTGAATATTACATTATACCATTATTTTGTAATTTTAAAAACTGACAGTAAAATTATTGATATTCATATTAAACATAAGTTATCATAAAATTAAATTTTTTATTTAATCATGATAAGTACATAAAACCTGTGAAGTATATTATTTTTTTAAATAAAATTATAATGGAAATATTTTTGCTTCGATGCAAAGCTGAGAAAGTATTAATTTTACTATGATGTGTTTTTTTTTTGTGTCTGTCACCACTTTTTCTCACCTCTCACCGAACCAATTTCTTTCAACGATACGTCAAAATATCACAAATCGTATCTAGTCGAAGACATAACCTTTAAAAATTGAAAACATTTCCCTTGTTTCCCGTAAATGGGGGGAATCTCCAAAAAATTACAAATTTAAAAATCGCTAATTTTTTTACTTAAAACTGTTATAACATTCTCAAAAATGATAAAATCAATATTATTATTTTTTTTTAATAGATACGTGAGGTACTTGCTTATCATTTTGTATATTTTTTTTATAAATCTGACCCTTTACCTGCCCACATGGGAGATTCAAAATGACAACTTTTTCAGAAAAAATTAACTTTTAAAAGTGTTCTGAAAATACTAACACTTCTATATATATATTAAATTAAAGCTAATGTAATATAATTAATTATGAAAAAAAAAATCGGACTTTATTTTGTCTTCACGGTGAAATCAAAATTAATAAAAAAAAATAAGATTTTTGTAAAAAAATTCTTTTTTATATTTTTAATTTTATAATGCTATAACTTCTTGAAAAATGTATGGATCAATACAATTTTTTTATGATATTATTTGTATACCTCTTTCATTCAACATACTATTTTTTTAAATAAAATGTTTAAATATTTATTAATATTATTACACTTATAAATCATAAAACTTGAAATCAGGATATAAATAAGAAAAAGGAGATCGTATAGCTTTTGGAATAATCCATCAATTTTTTAAAATTAAACACTATCTACAAATTTGCATCGAAGCGTTTTTTATGATTGTGATTTTAATCACTGTCAGATATCATTATACTTGACCCAACTATGCCATGTCCTCACTGTGCCGCGACCACAACTTGCTGGGGTTTTATTTTTTAACACAGACACAATTAATTTTCCTAATTTTCAAACAATATATACAAAGAATATATTATTATATTATAATATTATCTATAATTATATATTATATTATAATATATAATGTATACAGTAAGATAACGACGAAGAAAATTCGTTGGTTTTAAAAAGTTAGTATTAATTTAATTTTTTTTTAAAGGTTCAATTTAACACTCATGTGTCCTTTTCTAACCGAACACCACATAATAAATCTACGTATTTTTATTTTTTTTATTATACAATGTTATTATACTTAATAGTTTTAATTTATATTTAACTTTTAATGGTATTTTTAAATATACAGTTTACCTGATTATGAGGTATATTATTCTGTCTAAGTAATAGTACTGACTAACTGAAATATGTTGTTAGAATCATTCTCAGTGAAGTATTTTACACTAACTAAATAATGATTTTTTCAACTATCATTGAATAACTAGCAATATTAATTTTAATATCACAGAACTAATATTGAAATTTTAGAATCTTACTAATAATAAAAAACATTAATTTGAGAAAAATCGTGACGAATATTTTAACTCATAAACATAAGGTAGTATCAATTAAAAATGATTAATTAGACTTTCATACATAAGTTTTATTGTAAGTAAATAATGGGTAACAGACAGTGTATCAGTAAAATAAATTTATCTTAAAAATATACATAAATAGTTCAAATCTTTAATGAAAACGACATTTCATAAATGATTTATTGTTTTTTAGATATCAAAAAGCGTGTAATCATTTATTTGACGTTTGACGGCTAATTCAGTATGCAAAAACAATACACGAACGCGTGTATAATTCGACCTAGAGAAAGGGTATACCAAGTTATTGGTGTATCGAATTAGGTTTTCTTTGGTTATTAAATACCGAACGCTTTAGCAATAATTGTAACTATTTACAAATAAATCACCGAGAAAATAAGTTATTGTAACATCACTGAATTAATTACAACATATTAACACAATTTGGTACATATCTCAAAATTTATATTTATAACGGCTTAAAATAATTTAATAGCATTTTATCTAATTATTTTTTTTTATCATTAATAATGCTACAATATCCAATCAAATTTTACTTACTATCCAGAGAAATAACTGGTCCTTGCAAAGCGTCATTCAGATAAGTATCTAAAAAAAAATAAAAAAACACGTTTATACTAAAAAAAAGTCCGTAGAAAGTTTCTGTCTAATTATTCAAAACTAAAAACAATACTTCAAATATTTAAATATATATATAAACGAATACGACCTACTAATAAAAGCAAGACGCTAGAACATTCTATATATCATCAATTCTATGTAGTATTAACATATATTTTAACACAAAATATGTTTGGCGAGTATTGAATAGTAAAACTGACACAATAAAAATCACAAATTATATTACAAAATATCGATACCTATTACATTTATAGCATGCAAAAAACATCATCATAAATTCAGTATACAAAATTATTAAACCACGTACAGCTATAGTAATATAATTATGTTACAAGGACTTTTGACAATCGAATTTCGAGATGTGACTCGGGCTTGTTATGAACTCAATTGAGTGTTTTCAATTAGCCTTTCACAATAAATAAACGTTTACGTCGAATAATACGCATAGACATCACAAGTAAATACTAGAGAAGCTTAACAAAAATGTAATCGACGTTGATTAAATTAAAAGTAATGAGTAAAATATAACATTTTGAGATCATAAATTTTATCATTTCACAATTGTAACACGGTACCGTGTATAAATTGTTTTTAATATTGAAAGATTTGTTTTAGCGTTGGATATCACCTTAGGTTATTGTCCACTAAAAATAAGAAAAAACATTTTTACTTTATAAAATTTCAACAAGAAGCCAAAACTTAACTTACCGTTACTACCCAAATAATAATATGTTTAACTGAAAATGAAATGTATTTAGTGTTCATAAAAATTTAATTTATTGGGAATCTAGATGATTTCTATTGATTTTTAAAAATACTGTTTTAAATTATGATGATAGATTAATTTCTAAATATTATTATTATTACATTATTTGCAATTTTGTGAGAAATCATACAAAAATTAATTATTAAATATTTTTCAATAGATAATCTTTAGTCTATATAATTTTCTTTTTAGTAATGAAATTTGGACAAGTCTTCGTTTCCAAACTTTTTCTAGTGTAACAATCTGTGTATAGAATATTATATAAAAAAATATTTAAGAGAATAAATGAAATATTTCTTAAGCGGATTCAAAATTGATGTTGAACAGATAACGTGTGTTCGTAACCGAGAACAAAAGCAATGACACTGTGGAACCTATTATATTTTAATGTATTTTTTTTTTTTAATAATTTAGGTAAGAAGTATGTACAAGGTGTAAATAGAAATGCCGTTAATATTTTCAAACAAACACGGTCACAGCACTACTGTGACGTCACCGATACGAGTGTCTACCGGCCAATGCACTTCTAATAAATATTGTACGTTGGAAAAAATAGTTATGATTGTTTATGTGCATTGAATTAGTGTACCTGTGCAATAAAATTAATGAAATTCAATTAACAGAATTATTAAAATTCAAAAAAATACTTGTGATTAAAAAATCACAATGATTTAAAAAAATCATATCAATTATTGAATGTTAATGGTGAAGTTTTTGTAACAACGATGTCTTTCGACAAATGTTATTGATAAAAAAATGTATCAATATTCTAATTTAAGTGTATATACGTGATCTCCATACTTGTTCTAATGTGAATACTACAATATCATTATATTTGTTAAATTGTGGAAGAATTAACTTTAAAATATCTAATAACTAAATTTAATATCGCTCATAAGAAACAAAAAAAAAATCAAAAACAGAGTATTTTTAATAAACAAATATTTTTTAAGGCATTCATTTGAACTCAATTTTATTAAATTCATATGTAAATATTCATATGTTAAATTAATAAAGGCGAAAATTTACTTTTTTGAATAATGTTAAAAATTATATTTAAAAATCTTAAATTTGAAAACACTAAATTATTTTTTACGATAGGATGCAACTAAATTAATATTTGTTGATTCTAAGAGTATAATTATGACTGCACTAAATGTTATAAAAATGTTTTTTGCAACTAAATGCACTAATGATATATAGCTACTATTAATTACTGAATATCAAAATCATTTATCGACTTTGATTTACTAATTTATTAATAGGTTTTTTCCAATTGAATTATAAATCAATAAATGATCCTAGGTATTTTAGATAAGATACTCTTTCAATATATATGAATAAATTTTAATATTCAATTTTACATGAACAAAATTTAAAACAAGACTTTCCAACAAACAAGAAGGAGTGTGCACACATAATTTATGAATATTAAATACTCAAATATTTATCACAACTATTATATGTTTGATTTTCGTTAAATTTNTTATATTATTTGATTTTCGTTAAATTTAGTTTTCATAAATTATTGCCAAACTATGATTTTATAGAATAGAACGTTTTGTTAGCCTTTTAATATAGATTTTTAATATTTTTATCTTGTAATAATCAGTAAAACATATTATTTTGGCAACAACATTAATATTAAGCAAAGCATTAATTTATAAAATAAATAAGATTGGCCCTAAAATAGTCCTTTGATAGACACCATTTGAGTAAAATTTAAAGCTTTTTAAACATCTATAATTATATCCATAACATTTTTATTATCATTTAAATTGTTATGTATATATATGTTAACAAAAAAAAATTAATATTATTAACCAATTTGTCTTGAGAAAACCAAATTGAATAAACTGAAAAGAAAGAGTGGTTATTAAGAAAATTTATGATTGAATTTTTCAACAATTTGTATTATGAATCTGGTATATTATTATAAGCTGTGCATGGAAAATTATAAAGAACATCCTCCATTTTTCTGAAAAATTTGGTACAGATTTATCAATATAATTTGAATTTATAATAACACTCCAATTTGCATTACATATTAGTGTATTTGTATTTATTTCATAGATAAAATTAGCTTAAACAAATTTTCACTTTTTAAAGAAATTTCAAAGTTAATTACTTTAGCGTAATGGTCAGTAATTACACGTGTAATGATAAAATATTGTATAAAATGATATCTTAACATGATTTAGTATTATTTGAAATTATTTATATATGAAAAAAATTTATAATTTACAGTAATATTTAGATATTTAAATCATAAACTAGTCTTTAATTCAGGTTTTTAACAAAATTTTCTTTTTTAAATGAATGGGGTTGTATGTAACTAACAAATCTAGCTTTTATAATAAAAGTGAAATATTATCTTTATCGAACACTTTAGCCAAATAAGTAATATATGTTTTTCATCAGTAATAAACTAATGAAAAATAAGAAGAGTAATGTAATAGATCTACAAGTGCGAAAAATATGTTGATTATTATTAAGAATAGAAATAATTTTTTTAGCTATAATGGACTCAAAAACTTTAGATAAAATATACAGGAGAGATATATGTCTATAGGTAGAAATAAAAGATTAATCACCATCCTTAAATATAGGATATACAAAATTTCTGTTGAAAGTGATAGAATAAATAGATATGTTAGTCAGGAGATAAAACTAATTTGCAAAAATAAATAAAAATATGACTAGGAATATTATCTGCACCAGGATTACTTTTCTACTTAAGTTCATATAAAGCGTTAAATACATCCATTTTGGATATATGTAGTTAGATAATGGATCAATAAGGAACTTTTAAGAAAGTAAAGGAGTAAAATAAAAAAATGTATTATTATGATACGCACTGAAAAATAATCAGAAAAACACATTCAATATTTTTTATTCACTATTGAAAGTATGATTATCATACTGCATAGAATTTGGTATATAGTTAAAATTACATTTAGAAGAAATAAATTTACAAAAAAATGTAAGGCCCAGAAATATTGAACGTTGAACATATATCAAATGTTTACAATAATCAAGCATTGCATTCGTCAATTAAACAACATACGTTTAAAAATAATATTATTTTTGTATAATTTAGAGAAATATAATAATAATAATTTTGTACACTAGAGGTATTTAATTGTAATAAATTGTTTGGAAAATAATCTTTCAGGAAATATTAGCTATATAATCGACCAATATAATACAATTATAGCTCAAATCAATGACATATTCGGGGAAAGACTAAAAGAGTTAAACCTACCCCTCTATTCAATCAACTAAACCGTATACGAAATCCATTGATTAAAATATAATATTACTTATTAGTTATACCCACCTTATGTTTTTGGAGTCCATTGGAGTGTCTTATTCTTTATTTAATCATTATTACCATCATTTTTCGCCGCATTATCTGTAAAATATCCAATAAATACCATAAATTAATAAAAGCAAACAGAATGTTTATTTTAAGGTGTCTCCTTCTTTTTCTTTTTATTAGCTACAGTTTTTTTTATTAAATTTATAAATCTTTCTGTAGTGTAGGAGAGTGTAAACATCATGAACAGTTGCAATAGACTATAATTTAGTCAGTCCACTATTTAACTTTTAACACAAAAAACTTAATAAATTTTTCACATTCAAAAGTTTTGATACAAAATTGGAATCTGTACAATAATGGCTGGTTTATTTTTATTGTATTCGGCTAAAGTGCATTAACCTTCATTGGTTGTATATTATTTATTTAGTCAAGTCAGAACTTGAGAACAGCGTAAGAATTTTTAGATATCAAAACCAGAATAGTTCAAATAAGAAAAAAGTTGTTCTTATTGGAATTCAAAAAACGTATATTTATTTAATTTAGTAAATAAGACAACTTCATGACTCCATATAACCAAGACAGGTTAAGATGAGTTATAACCTTCGTTTACTAACAAAAAATGAACGGGTACCATGTAAGCATCGATATACATTTTTCTTTTTTCTTGTACTTATCCATATGATACTGTATAATTAAAACTAACCCTATGATATTAGATTTAAACTCGAGTCCATGACCGATTTATTAAAATATTTAATTTTTCTAACGAAAGAAAAATGTATGCATACGCATAGTTAATTGATTTGATAAGCCTTTCTGTAATCTTAAGCCTACGGCAAAATCATGTAATTATACTGTATAGGTTTACATATTAAATGTATGAAAAGCTATAAGTAAGTTATTCATATAATCAGTTAAAATTTCAAGTAATTATTACAAACAATATTTAAGAATTTCTATAATAGAAGAAAACCATTTTCAGGAAAAAATTAATTAGGCTATCTACTGTCCTGACTTAATAAAAGTTGGCTAATAAGACTTGCGGCGTGTTATCAATTGAAATTTTTAAGAGTAAAAAGTTACACTGGAACTGACTTCTTACTGGAAACATCAATTCTAAATATATTCGAATCTACAAGTAAACTTTCCAACTGCTATCTAAACAAGTTTTTGTATTAACTTCCTAGAAACTATCACATGAAATTAGTTGTTCTATGTAAAACTGTTATATACACTAATAGTAGTATTCAATAAATACGAACTTAAAGTTGGATTTTAATATTATTACTGGTGTCCTAAAAATTGTTGACAAACTTCAATAACAAAATCACATTTTCCTATCATTAATACATGTTTTTCATAGTTTACTGAGTAAAGTTTGTTAGTAATTGTTTCAATGAATAAAATAGATATCAAAAAGTATTATTTTTAATATTCACAGTAAATTACTGAGTATGGTATTCTAAACAATGTTCTATGGATCCAATACTTAAATGGTATAAAAATTTTATTTTAAATTTAAATATATTAGTCCAAAAATTCTGGGAAAAGACCTTGACTTTAGTTTACTCGTCGCCCTTTTTTATTGTGATTTCGGCTACAAGACACATTTTTTGCAACAACAATCACTTCTATTCCAGTATATAATATAGTCATATAAATTCAAGACATTAAAATTAACAAAAGTTTACAAATTCATAATTTGACGATTTCCACTTTTACCTAAATCTGTAGTATATGAATGTTTAATTACTTTTAATGCCAACTATAAAGAATATGTAAGCGATGTTACAACTTCAAGTTATCACAAAGTACAAATTATATATTAATAAATACTTGATTTCTAAATATTATACAATTGTATAATTTATGGATTTTTATTTGAATATTATGGAAAATTGATATTAACCATGACTTTTAGTATTTTGTTTAAGTCGTTTATAAGCGTTCATTTTATACAATAATGACACACGCCGTTTCAATAAATAATGTAATATTCATTTGCAAAGTCTACAAACGTTTATTTTGAAACTTGCAGATGTTCTTTTATTAACATAATTTCGAAATGCGCAACAATACTGGTTGTTCGCAAAATCCCTAAGTCAGCGTATTAAGCATAACGGCTTATTACAAAAACAGTGAGACAGAAAGTGAAAAAATAAACGAATAACAAACGATCAACTATTGAGGTTGACCTAAGGCAACTATAAATATAAAAATAATTATTGCTATAAAGAAAACGGGGTCATTACATACACAAATTGATGGATAAGCCATGAACTGTAAATAAAACATCACAAGTGTTTTAAAATATTTATGTTGATTTTTTTTATACACACGTGCCGTGTAATTATTTATAATAAATACTACTTCAGAAAATATCCAAGTATTATCGTCCATCGATTTTTATAAAATGACTGTGCATCTACCGATTCATCAGATTTTTATGTTTCATATTGTGCAATCCTGTCAACAGGTAACTATATTATGTGCAAAACAAAAATATTATGATTGCTCAGAAACAAAACTATTGATTACCTAACGACTGCCTGAACAACAAACAAACCGAGTGTTTTATATTTTTTATAACTAGTTTGCACGTGTAAAACATGAAACATTCAACAACATTTACTTTGGTTTGATATATTTTTCTAATTATTTTAAATTCACATTATTATTTTTTAATTAATGAACAATTTCAACAACTTAAACATCAGGAAACAATAACCCCTGTGGAGTTTTTGTTTACAAAGATTATCCTCGACCTCTCAGGATCAATAAAAATAATTTTTTTTTTTTGGTGTAAAATATTTCCTAAATAAATCAATATATTTTTATAAAAATTAATTTTATATATTTTTTAAAATTATGATTCAAATCATTCTACTATAAAAACATTAATTAAGGTTAATTAATTCAAATTTAAATAATTTACTTCTAGTTTAATATGTAATAATAAAAAGTAAATTAACTATAACCAGTACTATTGAATTAAAGTAAAAATAATGTCCAGTGGTTTGCACGTCTAAATTATATCGGTCAAGTTCATGATAAGGCACTGTTAATGATTATTATTCAATTATACTGTGCCAGGCGGCACTTGTTTAGCCTGATAAATTACAGAGCCATCAGTATACTTATGTGATAATTCAAGGGCATTATGATTAATCCATGTGCTTAAACGTCTTTCTGTCTATTATAACATATAATCTTGATATTTCTCCGAAAATTAATACCATTATGTTGACGAGTTATTAATTATCTTCACGGAGAGTTTAAACTTTCTTTTATGTGGGTTCAACTATTAAATAAGTATTAATGTTTAAAAAATTGTTAACGCTTAATCTAATAATCACCCAAAAATTGAAACACCCTGGCACAACTTTTTATAGAAACAAATTACTGATGCATCACTGTTATTGGCTTATAGCGTTTTAATTCATACGTATAATTTCCAAAAATAAATGTTTATCTGATCAAAATGTTGATAACCCAATTATGATGTTGACATATTTAATCTTTACTACTAGTGTTTCAAATCGTGTTTCATTAGATATTACTGGTTTTATTGATACATACAATTGAAACAAAAATTATTATTGATTATGATTACCTACATTTTTAAAATATATGAATACCCAATAAAATGATTGAAGTATTAAACGTTAGATTTCCAAGCAAAAATACAATATTTTTTTATTACACTTAATTTACGCAAACTTATTCAACAGTGACAATAAATTTATACTGTTAAATTTCAAAAAGGCATATAATATTAGGAATATTTTTATTATAAAAATAAATTTAGAAATACAAGAAAATATATAACACAAATATTTTAAAAAAATAATACTTTTTTAATTATTATAAAAAAAATATAAATATAAATTACTATATTGTTTATTGTTAATCCCACTAATCATACTCTTAAAAAATTTATTCAATCAGACATAAATTTACCTAAGACGGCAAAAACAAAACAAAAATAGATAAAAAATTTTATAATACGTCTTACTGACAACATGTATGGTGGACACTTAAATACATTGCATATTTAAACATATCTTCATGAGTGAAATAAATAAATTACCAAAACTTTGCAAAAGTAACAAAATAAATATCAGCAATCAGATAAAAAAAAATATATTATTATGTAAAAAAAGGAAAATGGTTCAATGGATAAACGGTAAAAAGGAAAAATAATCTCACGCATCTATTTTAAACTTCAATAAAAGTCCCTAGATTTTCATCTCTCACAGTTGACTAAACCATTTAACACAAATACATTTTGCACAACAATCAATTAAATTAACAAGTCGTAAAATACTCCATTAGTAGATTAAATAAGATTATGGTAAAATCGGATTATATTATTTTCTATTTAACTTTAAACATTATTTTAATAGTTAGGCTTAAAAATTCCTTTAGTACCTTTTTTCTATATTTCATTGAAAGGACAAACTCACTGTAATAACGCAGTTTACATTTATTTTTATCGTATGAAAAGTAATAGTTTTTTGGTGTAAAAAAAAGCTGTTATGTACAAAAAATTATTTTTTTTAATTTAAAATAAATCATAATTGCATATAATCAGATTTTTACAAAAAAAAAAATAAAAAATACAAAAACTATTAAAATATATTATACAGTGTGATATATTAAGTATACTACCCCATTGTAGTTAAACCTATCCCGCTCCTCACTTTTTCTAAATCTTCAAATGCTAATACATCGATAAGTAATAATATAAATCTAGTTATTCAACAGTCAAAATATTATTTAGGCCATTCTCCATTAAATAGTAAAAAAGTATATTACCAGAAATAAATATGTTACAAAAACAATATTGTCTTGCTTCATCCAAAATAGTATTCTCAAATAGTCGGCTTAGTTATTTCTACTCTTAAAAATAGATAACAATTGTAAAACATTAAATTTAATGTTATTCATTAAATCTTTATAATCTAAACTTTACTATTAAATTCAGGGTCATATTTAGGAGGTGGTTTGGAGTATCCCCCAAAAAATCCTTAGGAGCGTAATTTAATGTTGAAGTGTAAATCCTACAAACATTTTAGACATACGGTTGTTAAACAAAATTTTTTATTTTAATATTAATAATTATGATTTACATGATATTCTATTTTCTTCATTTTTATTTTAAGAATATCATTATAAGTTCGATGAAAACTTAAAGAAAAAATATTGACTTATTTTTTTGCTCATATATATTAATTAAATGGTGATTCTGAAATAAAATTTGGGGGTGCCAAAATATATGTAGCTACCCCATGCCAAAATCTTCAATACGGCTCTGAGTAAATCACACACCTAACTAGTATAAGCATTGAGTATAGATACTCAATAATAGTATACTAACTATATTCAATGGTGTAAGTTAAGAGCTGATCTCAAAATTAAATACATTACATAATTACTACATTAAACGAGTAATCAAATTGATAGTAACCCACTTGTCTCTTTTATGTAGTTCTACGTGCGACTTCATAAGTTATGTCATATCAACAAATTGGCTGCCAAAATCTCTGCATTTATACGTTTCATAGTTTAATTTCACGTTCTACATAATAAAATATAAATCCATTCGACAATCATATAAAAACCTAGTGCCTATTTCTAAGGCATTTGATTTTTGATTTGTTCAAATATGTCCCTACACTAAATATGTATTATAATATGGAGACAAAAATAAGATACATTATTTCTTAAATAATAACAATAAAAGTTATTAAATTTCAGAGTTATTAAGTTTATGTAACTAAATTGTACATTATACTATTTATGTGATCAATGCGAGATGAATAAAGTACACCATATTTTTTATTGTTTTTTTTTTACTTTTAACTTCCTCTCAAATAAGAAACTTAATTCTTGTATGAGAAAGGAAAGGTAAACCTGCATAGTTTGGCGGTATGAAATCGAACTTCTAAACATTCATTTTGAGGCACAACATGTTCTTGACCGAGCTATATAGACCCCCTAAATATAAAATAACCTAATTATATAATGACTAACTTTTTTTATATGACAGATTTTAGTTGAAAAATAAATAAAATATTTTATTAAAATTAATTACTTTAATACTCAAATTAAAGGTAAATAAAAATTGTTTAATAATGTGATTTTTCGAGCGACTTAATTGGGGGTAGCCGACTGATTTTTTTTTCCATAAAAAAAAATAATGTGAACATAAATTTTAAGTTTATTATTTCCGCTCTAGAAACTCAATTCTAATGAAATATAGGAATATAGATATTAAAATATACTGTTAATTTTTCTTAATGATTAGTGCATCGTGTTTTTCACTGTGACTCGTTTATTAAAATTTATAGTTATTCAGTACAGCAAAAATACTGTCAGTATTTAAATAACTATCGTCGAAAATTGTTTTCCTTTTTTTTTTTTTTTGTTGTTGTTTTACTTTGTGGCACGTGATCAATATCTTCGACGTTTAAGGCTCAACAAGACAGCGAAGAAAAGATCGACGAGGAAAAAAAATACTTTCATCTGAGCACGTGCCTTCGCGCGTCTACAGTGAAAGTAGTCACGAGTAAAAAAAATAGATAAAAAAATAATGTACTCGCTACTTAGCATTCTCGTAAATATATAGCACATACTGTACTCTTTATAAATTATATTTTGAATACTGTTGTTGGGTTTGGAGTTTAAAGATATACTATATAGTTTAACAAACGTTAATGAACTTCCGGAGGCGATCGACCTTCAACCATTCGAACGAGGTAAATTTTGAAAGTGAAAACTACCGTAAGTACAACGAAAGACCGGTTTTTCTATAAATTTTCATCAATGAACTGTATTGCATAATCATCATCCCTTTATCTGCAAAGAAAAATTAAATTAAACTACTCGTGCTGGAATTGTTTAAGATAGTACACAAGCACAGGCGCACGTTTATAATATAATTGACTCTTTTATTACTAAGGACCAGAATAACATTCTTTTAAAATAACTTAAATATCATGCTAATATTCTCTCAAAAAATATTCTTTTAAAAATCAGTGAAATATGCAAAAAAAATGATCTTTTATAAAATATAATCTCATAAATTTAATGTATACATTTATAAGCATAATAAAAATTTAGTAATATATTAAACAAGTTTTTTTTTTTATTTTACAAAGTAAAAATCTCGTTCTGTCAGGTATACATCTGAATAAAATACAATCAACTTTGAATAATTATTAAAATTTTAAAATTATTTTGGATGATTGATCTTAAAAAAAAAAAAAAAAATTGTGGTTTAATAATTGTTTATATAACAAAATAAAATATTGAAGTTTTATCAAATTAATCAAATTAACATATTTTCTGTATTTTATTAGAGTTATATGACAATGGTTACATTGTTCCCAAAATACGTATCTCCAAATTATTAGTAATTTTTGTGACTTATTGAGTTAAATATTTTTATATATTTTATTTTTAAATTAATATTTTAAATACACATTTAATTTTAAGTAATTATATTTTATGCAACATATGCTCAATTACGCAAAAAAATAACATTGTTATCTAACTAAATGCAACACAATTCTTTAAGATTATGAACTCTTGTTTTTCAACGAATACCTCCAAAAAAATATGTGTAGTAATGAAATTCCGACCTCTATTTACCATCATGTAATGATTACACGCATGTTGCTAAATTGATTAACATATGATTGGCATGTAAACAAAAAATAGTTCTAATATATTTAAATGCATTCACATGGATATTATCCCAATTTTATAATTCAAATAATTTATAATATAAACAATGTGTAACAACTATAATTTATTGTAATTATAATCTAAAAAAAATTTTACCATCTTATGTATTTACAAATTTCTCGTAGCAATAACACAGATCTTGTTTTGAAACTAAGATTAATAATTCTATCATGTTACAAATATTTGCATAATATATTGAGTATACAAGTAATACATCAGTACTTTTATTTTTTGATTCCGTTCAACTTCCTATAGTTTAAATTATGGATTGCTTAGTTATATATAACTTGAAGTATACTTTACCAATCATTACAAGTTCCGTAATCATTCTAATTAATTACTAAATAAACGAATAGAATAATTTAATATATATTTTTAAATATGAAAACGAAATTCACAGAAATTTGATTTTGCAAATCTTTATTGATTACTTTAAGAAATTTGAACACAATTTACAATTCAATTTCAGTAAATCCAATTCAATTATTTGTTAAACATTTTTATGCCAATTAAGTCTAAGGAAGTTTATTGATATTATAATTAAGGTTATTAATTATGAATGTCAAGTAGTTTTTAGTTTTATTATTATTTTAAAGTATTTAAAATTCAATAGACAGGTTAATTTATTTATGTTGCTCTTGTAAAATATTTATTATATTTCTTTGAATTAATTATTTTTTAAGCAAATATTCCAAACGAATTATTTTTTTTTGCTATACAAGAAGAATATCTAATCATTTTGACGTTCGTTATTATTTAATGAGCTTATACAATCTTTATTACAGTTTATTAATCAAGCAGTACGGAATATTCCACTATATGAGAAATTGACTTTTAAGTTTCAAAGAAGTGACTACTATAGTGTTTCAGCGTTCATTGCACGTATGAATATCAACAATGAAATGACAGCCTTAAGAAATTACTTTAATAAACTAACGGGAATCGCTTTGCACTTATGCCGATGACCTCAGTTATTGCTTAAATTCGCGTTGCTTTTATTTCGACTAATAAATCATTTACGACACTCGATTACCTACTGCAGACACGGGAGCACTATTCGTAAAATTTTAACGAAACAGATGGCCTGTAACCACTAAATTGTGGATGTAGTATTTTGTGATTGTTGAAACACACCGTTTTGTATTGGCATTCGAGTAAAACACGTTGATTGCGTAACCATGGAAACATGACTACTGCTGCAGGAGAGAGTAAAAAATTTAGCTCGTCCAGTGCAATTTACTTGACAGGTGGGATTTAAAATGATCGAAGAAAGGCATACATAGAGTATAAACATTAAAAAGATTATTCCAAACTGTTTGTTTACCGCTAAATTCTAATTAATTTTAATAAACACTCAGCAAATAAAATACGCGGCAATCTACTATTTGTTTTCATTTCGAGTCTGACATTTGTAAAACATTACTACACTTGGAATAGTCATGCGATTCACCCTTTAACAGGTTTTCTATTTACTCGATATCTGAATATTCAATTCAAATAAGCATATTAAGTTTTATTTGCTTTATACAAGAACCTATAGACTATATTGATTTGTTAACTAAATTACCCGACTCTTTACGAGCTATTAAACCTTATAGTTAGACTAATACTATTGTTCTCCGTGTCATTTGAAATGAAATAAATTTGATAGCTATTATTGTTTTCTAAATAGATTAAATTTTATAATTTACCGACTAATTTACTTTGGATTGGTATAATATTCGCAGTAAAATTGTTATACGACATAAATTTGCATATTGANGACTAATACTATTGTTCTCCGTGTCATTTGAAATGAAATAAATTTGATAGCTATTATTGTTTTCTAAATAGATTAATTTTTTTATAATTTACCGACTAATTTACTTTGGATTGGTATAATATTCGCAGTAAAATTGTTATACGACATAAATTTGCATATTGACTACTTCAAAATTAAGTTTACTGAAATAAAGAAATTGTTTGTTCAATTGTTTTTATAAACGTAAAATAATAAATTAAAAAAAAATGTTTTTAGCAATTTAATAAAAAAACAACTATCTTATGATAATATTGAAATATTGTATACGAAATCATTTTTAATAATTTTATCAAAAACCATAAACCCTAATAATAATTATGATTTAAAGCCTTCATTTCGTCAGAATTATTTTTAAAAAATGTTACTAATACACTTTACAATATAATTAATACACTTAATTATGAGATATCTAAAAATGACTCACTATTTATAGGGGAAATATTATATGTATTTATAAGTTTTGATTGCAGATGCAAAATTTCAAACGAGTATCAAGTAGGTATTTAAAGTAGTGCAAGTTTTTTCATTATACAAAAGTTTAATCACAAATTGTCTGAACCTTCTCTCAACTCCCCAAAACGAATAAAAGACACCACGTGGTTACGATTAAATAACTGAAAATTTGCACTATATGATGATGTCTTTTGGAGAATTACACTTAATTAAAAAATGTATATAAACCTACTTCCTAACTGGTATGTTGAAATCGACTTAAACACTTCAATGTTTAATACTTCGTAATATGATTTATAATTAAAAATATAGCAAATATATATACACAAGAATGAAATTATTCCTATTACATATTTTATGTATTACAAAATAATAGTATAAATAATTATTCACACATATTTACCTGAATGACAGAAAAGATAATTACAAAGAAGAGCAAAATATTAAAACCTTTAAATTCGAATCCTCAAAAATTAAAGCATCTTCGTCTTGGGCTTGTTCTACTATGAAAATTCTTTAGAATTACACTTTAAAAAATAAACGGGTAGTTTTTTTTAATTAATTATACTTTTTCAAGGGTAAATGAATCTCGAAGTCTATGAACGATAATAAAAAAAAATATTCGCAAATAACAATGTATCTCCGATTATTTATTTCGAAAAACGGTACAACTGACTGATTATCTAATTGTTTATATTTGTCTGTCAATCGTTATGTCTGTACGGATACTGAAGCGTCATGTGAGAATCGCTTTCCTTTTCTACTGCCCCACTATACGGTATCCACTGCCGCTGCTATTTTGTATGTGTATATTACGTCTGCACAGTGTGATGTTAGGCATAGGACATAGGTGCACCGTGACTTGAATGCTGAGGACCAGTTGGGCTGGGTCAGGTGAACGTGTAGTTTGAGACGGTCATCAGTACTGCAGGGGCGTCAACGTGATACCGTGTGCGCTTTGCACATCTCCTTCCGGATTGGAGATGGAGCTTAATAATACGGTATCAAAAACCCTTGAGATATTAAGTAAATAACCATTAAACTGAAATAACACATTTTTTACGATAAGAACTTGATGTTTATTATTATTACCACAATTATTGTATGTAATCAAATTTTAATATAAGGTAATGTAATGGAAAAATTTTGTTTTTATTTCAAAAATATGTACACAAAGTAGAAATTGATTAAATGTTAATCTACAATGAGTATTATCAAACATTATGTTTAAGTTATTTATACTTGAAAAAATTGTTATCAATAAAAAAAAAACATCATAACAAGCCTTATAATTATGGTATTTTTTAAAATAAATACAAAGAATAGATAATCAACGATATTCATTTAATTAGATCTGAAAATTATTTAGCCAGAGGCATGACGCATTGTGGCGTCCTCCATAAAATAAATCATTTACACAATCATAACAAGAGTTACATAATTATCCAGGCGTAGAATAGAAGTTCAACAAACATCACTATAAATCTATCATAGTGATCAGTACCTAAGATACTGACCTAGTTCTATGTTTATGACTCTGTAACCTATTAAGTTAGTGTACATGTTTGACGTCATATACCATATTAAATCTAGTAGATTGTATTATTATTTTTGACTAAACTGGACTTGAAGCCAAATTAATTTAAGATAATACTAATATTATCTTAATTAGAATCGACTTAAATTTTAATTAGTCAACTACTGTATGCAATTTTTTTTTAATAAAACTTTTTATTGCGGTCCAAGTTATAAAAAAAACTCGACTTAAAACTCCAATAATAGTCATCATTTAGGTGACTATTATTATTTTTGGGTTTTTTAAATATTGAATTTTATGCAAATGGCATTTGATACCTTTTATTAGAGACTCGAATTTTATGCTAAGAAAATAATCAAAAAAGTACTACAAGTGATGCTTAATTTGAAATTAATTATTTCTATGCAACAAGATTGATTTTTTATTTAATTTTACAATGTTTAGGTTAAAATTAAAAATAATAAATTACCTACTTTAAAAAATAGTTGAATTCAGTAATAAATATTTATTTGAATGGAAAGGTCTTGTTGATAGCTAAAAAAAAAGACATTCAATAATGCTATTTCTCAGTGCATAAATAAGTAATACATAAGTTAGTAGGTAAATATGTTATACAATATATCTGCAAGCATTCTTTACGCTTGATACTTATCTATTTTTCCAGACATTTTATCTACATGCGGAATTCTTTATTAGTAGATGTCTGTCATTTATCAAGTCATAACATTCTAGTGCCCATACTTAAAAAAACTGTCTTTTCCTACTGAGATCTTCACCTATGTGACATAATATTATCACATTACCTCATAATGCGGAAAATTCTCAATGCTTACCCATAACGCGATATTATTGTTTTATAACCACTTTATGTTACACTTATGTATATATTATATACACTAATTCCCACTGTCATGTACCGTATCATTACGGTTTTGGCTAACCAACGACAAGAACTATAAGACAAGCTCTAACATAATAGTTATTGTTGTTCTTGGCCATAATATTATGATTTTGTATTACAAGACCTTCTTAATCATAATGAAAACTATACTTAACCACGAAACAGTCTTAACGAATTAACGAACAAAAAAGATATTATGCATTTTGCGCCTAGTTACATCAAAAGTAACAATTATAGATTATGTTTACTTGTGCATCATGTTTTTTTGTCGAATCAAATTATATGAGTAATTGATATGATGCTTATTATTATTACTATTTTTTATTTGTTCTCGAGAAATTTTTGAACTTGAAGAGAAACATTTTTATAAATTGAGGATAATTAGTTGTAACAATGTACGATGATCGTAATTTATAAAAGTGTCACGTGAAGCTCTTTGTTATTTTTTACACCTTATATTCTGTTTACTAAAAGTATGTATTTTTATCTATGAACAACATTCAATTAAGCTGTTAAAATTACTCTACATCATATTGTTTTTAATCTATTGTCACAGTTAAATATGATGATATCCCAATACAATTATATGGAAATTATTGCAATTTGTTTTATGTACTACTTAACTCAATTGTAATCTAGAAAAGATTTTAATAATATTTTGTATTATATTTAACAAGTGAAAGTATGAGTTTAATTTTTAGTGGTTGAAAGTAATTTATAAATAGGAAATTTCTAAGTAAAAGAGTTGTAACAGTAACAGGAATTATGAGTTAATAGATATTAACTTTGCAATCATACACTCTGTAATCAATCTTATATTAAATCGTTTATTTAAGATGTATAAATTATAAAATCTGTATATTTTTTCCTAAGATATTTTACAAATCTGATCATTTTTCTTGTGGTTTTTTTTTTTTGACTATTTTTCCCCAGCTAACAGATTTTGGAAAACTTGTTTAATTTAGCGATATTGACTGAGTGTAAAAATTATATTAAATTTAATTTCACATATTATAAAGAAAATAGTACATTTATTTACATGACATTTTTTTAAAAAATTCGATGCAATAATTATTAAAGCAGTAAAGTTTAGATAATAAAAATTTATAGGAACTGTAGATCATATAAAAAAATTATGAGAGATATTTTCATCATAGTATAATATACATAAATAGAAGTCTGTATAATATTTTACTTAGTTTTAATAATTAAGAAAGTTGTGCTAACATAATTAAATATTTATAACTTGAAATTATGGTTACGACACAAGTAAACATAAAATAATTACTAAATAAAAAAAATCATAAAAAGTTGAATTGTTGTTATTATTTTAAACTACTAGAATTTTTAAAACAATTTGTTCAATTTGAAAAGAAAATTATATTCTAAGTATTGCATGATACTATATAATAAACTGAAAGCTAGTTAAATTAGCGTCTTAATTAAAATAGACTCGATGACATATCTATATTGTAGAAGTTAACTATTACAAGTTTTCTTACATCATTTATTGAATATTTTCAAAATTATATACCTATCTTACGTTTCAGCATCCAAACCAATGTTTATGTTTTGAATAGTGTCCTACCAAATATTACATTACGATCAGTTTTCCGGCTATTATAATAGCGGATATGACTAATGAGTGCATATTATTATGACAGTAAAACAGCGTAACGCGGTCGGCATCCTACAAAAAACTTTCGTTAAAATAATAAAATAGGTACTGTAGGATTTACATGATAAAATATTTTATACAATATAATTAAAATAATTTGTATAAATCGCAAAAAAAAATTTAATTGTATTTCTATATATAATATTTATAAATAATTGTATATAATATATTTATTTATCATTACACCATAAGATGGATTTTAAAAATAAAACGTTGAAATATTGATTTTTTTCATTTTAATAATTAAAACATGCTATTATGAAAATACTTAAATACTTTGAGCATAGTTTGGCGCAGTGGATTAATCGCAAGTCGCTGCCATAACGTTGATGTTCAGCTTTGCTGTTGGTTTCCAAATGGGTGACCAAATAGGAACATACACCTTGCCCCTGTATTACTCCTTCAGCTTTAATGAGGTTGCGTCGGGTCGACAGTCAGTGTGAAAACATGTCAAATCGACTAGAGCCAACCCCAAATAGTTGAGATAGAGACTAAGAAGATAATGATTATCATGAAAATACTTTTAAACATTATATATTTAAATTTCATAATTGTCAGTTAGTGAGAACAGTTAAGATATCTTCTTTGATGATATCTTCTTTTTATTGATGCAATATTTTTTTTAGTAACTGTAAATTTCGAATATTGATTTGGCAATATTGGGATACAAATGTCATAGTTAAATTTAATAAAGAACTTTTAACTTAATAATCCTTATAGAAATAAAAAAGACTAATAATTTCACTGAAATTATCAAGTTATCATTGAAAACTTTATAATTCATGAATAATGGCTACCAAAACGCACCTCTTTTTATAATAATATATATTTGGTGACATGTAATCAGTAAAAACATACATGAGGATAATTTTATACGTATTGATATACCATATATTACAAAAAGAATTATTTCTTTTGAAACGTTAGAATTAAGTTACACGTTCATTTACAGCTATTATCAAAAACTAATTAAAACAATTTATCAGTGCATCAAGGTAACAAAAATAGTTTAATGGTATGAATACAATTAAATATTTTTAAACGCAAATGTTTTCAATTAAATCGGTGTATCATATTCAGAAAGATAACAAAAAATACCTTTCTTTATTAATTTTATCAATAATTTGAAGAACATTATTTTTGTGGCTTTCAAAAAAACAAAAATATATCGCACTGTAAGTGCTAGAGGGTTACAAAGTTTCAATCTTCTATATAAGTTACATTGTGTTTTACTTTGATTTTAGAATTTATATTAAGTTCAAGTCAAATTTTATGCAAGTTTCTTGAATATTTATAAAGATAATAATGAACTAAATTGAATTGCATAAAAATGTCAAATACCACGAATTTCAATATATGGCCTTCTTTCACTCGTGTTTATATTTTAAAAGAAAATTTTAGAAACTATTATATTTTACGTCGGAATATACATTGTATTAAATTGTGATATAATCAAATAGTGTCATATTTGCTTGAACACTTGTATAAAAACGTAAGACTTTTAACAATTGTATGACACATACGTCACACAATTTTTAATATTTGCATTATGTAGTGTGTAATTACACATAAAATAATTGTGTGTCATTAGTGAAGATTGAACTATTTGCTAATAAAATATATATATATATATGTAATTTATATTCATTGCCCAATATACGATTTATTTATTTTTTAATAAATAAAAGTTAAAAAATAATTCTCATAATCACAAAAATTCATGAAATTTTATTATATTTATTTCTAACAAGTTTTTAATTAAAGCAAGCAAAAGCAACAGCACTTAATACTGCCTCAGGACACATTAGATCAATCTTCAGGATTCCTTATTATTAACCAACCTAACAATTAAAACATATTTACAAAAGGATAGAAAAAAACCCTTTGTAATGCTCATATTAATTGACTCTGGTTATAAACTAGTTTTTAAAGCTATACGTTTAATGATTTTTCTCGTAATATTCATAAAACAAATGAATATTAAATCAAACTATAAATTACCATTAAAATAACAACTCAGGTATACAAACATGTATAAGTAAAAAAATTGTTTTAGTAACATGTCTAGATAAAAAAAAAAGAGCAATTATATTTTTGATGATGTAATTGATAAAATAATGAATACATTTTATGACGTACGCCTTATATCAATATCTTTTAATGAACCACATGAATCAAATTTCACAATTTTACATTTAAATTTTAACCAATATCATTATTTTATAACAACCATTTATGCGTTCATCACCGTAATAAAATGATTTATTATCTATCCCTATAATATATACTAAGGATAATCAATAGATTAAAACAAATAATTTTTTAACTAAAATTTTTGGAGACTGAATTTAATTGGGACTATATAAGGTGTTCAGTAAATTTTGTTTGTAACAATTGACCTATTTCCTTACTTACTGAACACTGTATAACTCTATTTTACACAAATTATTATTAATATTTATTTATTATTTATTATTTTTATTAAATATTATTATTAGAACATTACACATTGATTATAAAAAAAAAAGATTTAGTTGAAATAAGTAAATTTTGATTTTTGCATTTAAATTCAGCAATGCGCATTTTTACAATATTTTAAAGTATAGTTATACTTTGAGACATTGTGAACATATAATAAATAATAATTTATTATTTGAATAATCAATTTTCATTTAACAATGTATTTATTTTAATGAATAATATATTTTTTGTTTTTATAAGTTTTAAAACAAATGTTCTACACAAAAATCACATGCGTCATTCTGAATTTTTTATTTTTATTATTTATTGTTAATTGTATACTTTTTTTTTTTAATTGTAAAATACAATGTCTCAATAATTATTGTAAAATGATTCTCTTATATAACAACAAAATTTACATAATTTCGCAATAAAAATTTGGTAATTAATTTTTATTTTATTTTATACAAAAAAAAAATTAAATGAAAAGAAGGTTTCTAAACAGATTGAACTTTGTGTTTTATATAGATATTCTTAAAATTATGAAATTTTTTAATTTAAAACACATTTACTAGAATCTAAAATAATTACAAGAGCATAATATGAAAAAAAAATGAATGTCTGCATTTATGAAAACAACATAATATTCTAGTAAAACCTATGAAACATATGAATCACCTTTGTTATTATCTTAAATGTATTTCTTTGTTCGTATTTTGTTTTGTGTTTTTAAAATAATTATTTGATTCACAAAGGTTTATTCGCAAATATTTCGTAGATTAATGTAAGTTACTTGAGTATGCCAGATTCCGGATCGGTTAAACCTTGATTTATTTTTTTTAATAAATAAATTAGTTAGCTTGATTGCTTTTAAAAATTATTGTTCATAAAAGAAAAAATGAAAATTGAATAAAATTCAAAAAAAATCTTCCTAGTGTAATTTTTAGTAATTATAAGAATTTGTGAAAAACTTTTAGATGAACACAGATTAATTGTAAATTAAACTAATTAATATAGTTATGAGAACATCTCAAATAAAACAACAAAGTACTTATATAGCAACAAGTCATCATACTCCACTAGTTATCATTTCAATGCGTACATTTTATTGAAAACTACATACTCTTAACGCTTGCAAAATCATAAACAAATATATTGAATGATTTCACGTCGTATTTAACATACAATAATATTATTGTAACTTGTAAAAATATATTAAATTCTTTATAATTTATAAATGTTTTTTTTATTTTGTAATTTTAATATACAATAATAATAATTTGAATATACAAAATCATTGCCTTTTTATAACTATAATAAACTTATTATTTATACAAATTAAATATATGTATTTATGTATTTCAAAATTAAAAAAGTACATTGCTGACTTTACCATAAAACGCCTTTTATGTATTCTTGTAAGCATAAATAAATTTATTAGTTTATTAACTAATATGTTGTTATCAAAAAAGTAAATTGTTAATTTTGGAAATAAATAAAAAGTAAATTGAGGATAATTCTCATTATAGATTTAAAATTTTATTTGAATGTTTATACAAAACTATATTATTTAGTGATTTATTTCAATTATTAAAAAATCATATTTAATGATGTCATAATTTTTGTAATAAAATTCGCATGAATATTTTGAAACAATTATATTAAGTAATAAAAATTGATAATTTGTAGATAACATTATTTAAAATTAAAATTATAATAAATTTATTAATTTGAAAAAAAAACTATTAAAAATTACTAAAAAGCATTGTTCCCAAAATATATCCTCGCGATTGTTTTTTTAGTATTTAAAATTGAAATACGACTTTGATACATTGAAAAATTCTAATAATTCAAATTATACTTCCAAATATTATTAAGGGATTTTATATTAATATTATTAATTTAGTTGAAAAAATAAAAGTAAAATAAAAATCGTACATCATTTCTTGTCAAACTTATATTGTTTACTAAAAAAATTGTCTCAATAGACTAATTTTTTTTTTTATTAAAAAAAAACATTCAATAAAAAAACATAAATTATTGATCTAAATATTTTATACAAAACATGTCCTATATCATAAATAATAAAACGGAAATGCACAAATTTTCATCAATTTATACAGAATTATCATATTTATAGTTATTCTATTATATTATAATATTTGTTAGATATTATCTCACAAACTTATAGATGTACAACTAAATGTTTCATATGAAAATCTATATATTTAAATATCTACAATTTATACTTGATTTTTTTTTTCATAGATTGCTTGTTTATAAGTAAAATAAAAAAAACAAAAAAAAAACCCAGCACATGGGGGTTGCGGTACAGTGGTGACGTGGCATAGTTGGATCAAGTATAATGATATCTGACAGTGATTAAAATCACTATCAAAAATAAACGCTTCGATACAAATCTTTAGATAGTGTTTAATTTTAAAAAAATTGGTGTTTTATTCCAAAAGCTACTTGATCTGCTGGTTCCTTATTAATATTTCGATTAAGATAAAGTATGTCGAATGAAAAAGAGTTTATTAAAAAATATTATTTCTCATAAAAAAATTGTGTGGATCCATAAACTTTTCAATAAGTTATAGCATTATAAAGTTAAATATAATATAAATAATAAAATCGAGAATTTTCACACGAAANTCATTTTTACAATGAAGACAAATCCAGAGGTCAAATTTTTTTTTTCAAATTAAAGTACATTACATTAGCTTTAATTTAAGATATATATAAAAAGTGTCAGACCTTCGNTACCCTAATTGACCAATTTTTAACCCAAGTCTGTCTGTATGAGTTAAACTTGTCTGAATGACCTAAATTTTTTTAATAGTTTCTTTGAACACATATATACACAACTTTGGAGAATGAGATCTAAAAATATTCAAAGACCCAAAATAAGGAACACCATATTAATTATATAAAAATGTTTTCAAAAAATTTAAAGTTATCAAATTATCTAAAATTATAATTTTAGAATCTTGCTCAATTATAATAATTATTATTTGTTCAATAATTTACAGAATTTTTTAAGGGGGTAAAATTTATACGTAATGTAAAAATCCCTTCTTAAATACACATGAAATTTTATAATTATCCACATCAAATAAAATTAAATATAATTTCTTCCCTCCTTAAAATTATTTTTTATATACCAATAAATGAAAATTTTCAGTTTTTCGGGATGTTTTAAGTAGCTGAAACAACCCCTTATTCTTATATTAAATTAAAAGTACATTTTTTCATTTATTAGCAATATTTAATCCATATATATCAGTACATTTTTAAGGTAGTATCAACGCAAATGTTTTTTAAAATCATTTTATCGATTAGTTGATTGTTTTTTTTTTTACTTTTTTCTTACCGACTGGATAACATTTATCAAAAAATACGTATATCATACTCAAAGCAATTACTTATACACTTTTATAAATTGTTTAATTTCTGCGTAATACTCAGAAATAGAGTCGATTTTTTTTTTAATAAAAATTAACCTTTAATTATTTCATATTAAATAAATAGGATAGTTAAATACAATCCTTATAAGATGACGTAAAGTGGTAATTAAATGTGTAATCATTTCAGACTTTTTTAAATTTATGACATTTTTTTATGGATAGATTTGGCGTATACAAACATTTAAACCAATCATTTTTTAAATTTTTAATGTAAAAATGTATTTCTTGAGAACATTATAACATAGCTGTTGAATTTATGTATATCATTATATGACGTATTAACTGTACAATTCTATAAATAGAAATCAAACATATGTATGATCAACCTTCTAAAATTGATTTTGAAATCCTATATAAATTCTATAGTACTATTTGAATGATACTAAGAGTGAAGATATCATTTAATGGTGTAGACAAATCGTATAATTTTTTATTTATAAATTTAATTACCATGTTACACGAATTGGTATTAATTTTATTTTTAACTAGTGCTAATGCATTTTTCAACATAGATCATGTTAAAGTTCATTGCGTCTTTTCAAAACATATGTTAAATATTTTTGAACTCAATGAAAAATACTTTCAATTAAAATATCCAAGTTATGCAAATTTAAACTACAATATGGAAGATTTAAAAGAATACGCAAAAAATCTTCAAAGTCAAAGTTCTATAATTATGATTATGTTGGATGAGTTACGAATGAAAAATCCATCATATTTTCCGGCTGATCTAATGACGGTAAATTTATACTTAAATAATGTACAGGGTCACATTTTAATGTTAAAAAATAATATGCCTTACTCTCGTAATGGAGTGGTTACTGACGAAGAACGTCTCAGAGAGGGATTCAAAACTAATTACAATACGATTGTTAGGCATTTAATTAATTTTATTGATAGACAATGTAGAAATTTTGGTCTATGTTTTGTGCCAATCGAACCACGATTTCAACATTTAATTATAAGCTCTAAAGAATGGACTGGTGGTAACAATGAGAATCAAATAAACTTAGTTAAGGCCGCTATAGAAAAATTAAAAGAAAAAAGTTACACAGTGTTTAGGGAATATATGGAAAGAGTATCATATACTGAATTTCATCCATCAAATATGTTGTTTTTTAGTTTAATGAATCCTTACAGTAAATATGAAAAAGAACCGGAAGTTGACGATGGATTAAATTTAATGCGACATGTTAAAGTTGAATCAAATGCAGTAAAGAATCATGAAACAAATATAATAAATCTCTACGAGAATATATTATTAAATTTTGATGGAAATTATGTAAAATCTTACCAACAGCAAGTATTAATGGCAACTATTTATCCAGTTTTTGAATGCATTTGTTCATATGCGAGTGTATTTAACCTATTATTCCAAACTGGGTATACGTTCAAATACGAAAATGAAAAAAAAATTACAGCACTTGGTTTGTCTTTGATAAAGGTGATACGTAAATTAGTTCATAGTAATATATTCGGATATGAAGTCAATCAATATATTATAAATTTACTTCGTGAGTTAGATAATTATAATTGGTATAAAAACATAAATTGGTCTACTAGGATTATACCAGAAATTAAAAATGTTCTATACATTAATCATTTAGAACTTGATGCAAAAAAATATCATATTCCAAAGAAACTATTGAGTGATATAGAATGTCAAGCATTATTGGATGAAACAAATGATAAAATTGAAAAAACAAAAAATTATGTAGAAGCATTATTAACTAAAAAAAAATGGTATAAAATTGTTAAGAATACTGTTAATCATAGTAATATATTCCACAATGAACCTTTAAATATAATGAGCGTATCAATAATGAGTAAGTAGATAATTTATTAAATCAATACAAAATTCATTGATTATATTAATTGTAATGATAATATGTACTAACTAATTAAATAGTAACTTTCCAGTGTCTTAACTGCCTTATTTCTAATTTTATAGAAAAGGTAATTTAAAAATTAAATGATATTTAATGTAATATAAAATTTATATTTAAGCATTTTACATTAGCTATAATGTAAAAATAGTTATACTACAGTTGAATTTTATACAAATATTAGCATTTTAAATGGTGCTTAAAAAAATGTGTTAAACTTAATAATGGCGCTTTTGGAAATTTACCCTTTTATAATCAATTGTAGTCTTAAAAAAATAATCATTTAACCTATTTCGAGTTTTGTGAAAAATATTTATATTTTAACTTCAGGTTATCTTAGGTTAATCATTAGTAAAAATATAAATACAAGAAAAGTTCTCAAAAATTAAAAAAAAATCTTTGTAGCTTAAGCAATTTTTATCTCTGAAAAAAGATATTTTCATAAGTAGTAACGACTTCGTTCTGAAACTTAGTCCAATTATTTCTAATAAGTAAACAGAACAAAAATAAAAAACTCATAGTCAAAAACCTAAAATAATGTGATGGTTATAAAGCTACTCTTATAATGAGCCACTTAAATTGTTGTGGTAGCAGTAACGTAAAAATAAAAATTGAAAAATAAAAATAATGTATTAAATTTTCTATTAGTTTCATTTACAAGAAAAACTGTTGGTTTCTTATTTTTATCAATTCATCAATAATGAAATATTTTTTATATTTATCTCTTATACCTTCTAATGGCATCAACTTTTTTTTTCAAATGGCAACATACATAATTAAATGTATTCTTATTAGATATTGATTAAAATCTAGATTTATATACATTTTTAAATTTTGTTTGATTTAAATTTCATTTTAAAAAGAGACAAATTTGTACAAAATTGTGGTTGAAATAGTAATGTAGTAATATTTTTCGTCTTAGGCGGAATAAACTTATCTAATCTTCTCAAAAATATGACATTAAATTATTACAAAATTATTAAGTCTATCAATACAAATTTGCGCAAAATTGGGGTTTTTTTAATGGATTAAACAAATTTTATAAATTTGGATTCTAATTATTAGTTAAGATAAAAATTAAATATGCATTACGTCAGTATAAGGTATTGACACCCTTATAAGGTTATACCTTTAAAGTTTGAAAATAATATATACTTCGTGATCGATAAATTTAGAAATGGAACTAAAGGATACTAATAAATAATTATTAGTGTTATTCTTATTTTTCGATTAATATTTCATGATAAAATAATCATCCTATCAACGGAATGACCTTATAAATCATTCATAAAACTAATCTTAAAATATTTTTTCAGGTAGTTTTAATCCATATAATATCAATGCTCAAAAAGATAATAAAATAAACACAGAAGAAACAGCTAACACAGTTTTTGACATTAATTCCCCAAAGGTAGATAAACCAGATACGTTTAATGTGAATACCATTTCTAGCAATGATAATTCTGTTGCTAGTCCAGTATCATATCAAAAAGATAATATAAAATTTAATGAAGTAGAATCCATCTTACCAGATACTAATTCTCTTGATGATGCTAGTCTAGTACCATATCAAAAAGAATATTCTAGATTAGATGATGAAGAATCTGTCTTACCAGATACTATTTCACTTGGTGACTATCCAAATAGTAACTCTACTGAAAATGACGAACCTAATGATGAACCTAATGATGAACTTAATGACGAACCTAATGATGAACTTAATGATAAACCTAATGATGAACTTAATGACGAACCTAATGATGAACTTAATGATAAACCTAATGATGAACCTAATGACGAACCTAATGATGAACCTAATGACGAAGTCTCACAGGCTGAATTAACATCAAATAAACAAAATGAAGGACAAGTTAGTAGACTAAGTAAATTATTCAGTGATCTAGCTGATAAAAATGCCAAAGAGCAAAATTATTCTAAAGAAATATTCAATAGAACAATTAAGAGTCGAAATAAAAAAATCAGTAAAGTATCAATGATACCTTCTAATGCTTCCGAAGAATTATCTTATCAGCATGAAAAAATCAATAAATTTGAACAAAATATAAAAGGTATGTCCACATTTTTTTTGGTTAGTAAAAAGTAAAACTATACAACTTCGATGGTAATTTGAATTAAAATATAATTTTTTATATTTTGGTAAGACACTCATTGTCTCAGAAACTATTGGACTATCTTAAATTTATTTAAAGAGAAAAACCATTTAATTTAAATAAGTCTACAATATCATGTAGTTAATTTATCTATTATTTAATAAATATTTTTTTTGCATCCCTTTTAAGGTAAAACCTTAACTTTGATTTTTTTAAATGGAAATTCTTAACTTAATAATATGATAGAGATAAAAACTACTAAAACTTTTGTACTTAAATTTTTTTTTTTATTTGATCAACCAATTTCATTTTAATATTGTTTAAAAATTTGGATTTTTAATAAAAATTCATCATTAACATGTTTTTTATTTAATACCAGAAACAGCAATAATCTGTTTTAAAATAAATTTTCATAAAGAATTTTTTATGTTAGTTTTCAACAAAAGTTTATCACTTCGAAGACCAACAATGTATAATAGTAAACTTGTGTTGAATACAATAGTGCGACTATTAATAGACATGAATTAAAAAGTTATTTTCTGTATGTTGGATAATACCTTAGTTAATAAAAACTAGTTTAGTTGACAAAATAGAAGAATGAAACGTTATGTTATTCTTCACAATGAAATATCATTTACAAATTGACCTCAAATTACTATACTTAACATGCTGTAATAGATAAGCAATCTATCATATGAAAAAAATTGTAAGATCAAAATTTTTGTTATCTTAGTCTATCATTTTAGTTAAAACGATGGTTCCCATTTAAGAAAATTAAAGTTATAATTTTTATCCCAAAAGGAATTCAACAAAAACTTATTTGGCAACATGATATTATAGAGTTTTGTAGAGTAAATAATTTTTCTCTTTACAAAAATAAAAAAATTTCAATAGTTTCAGAAAAATGAATATCTTACTGAAAATTGATAATCCTGTATAAGTAAAATGTTAAATTCTAAATTATAGAAAATATTTTTTTGATTAAATCCAAGACTTATTCTATATATTCAGAGCCAACGCAAAAGATTGTGCGAAGTTTGCTCCACGTTTTTAAGGGCCCAACAAATTAAGCCAATAAATCAAAAAAAGATTCTATTATTAGTTAAAAAAATTTTACGAGCTCCGTAAAATTAATTGCACGAGGTCCCGTTATTTCTAGTGCCAAATCTTTATATAATATACAGAGTAATTTTTTATTTCAGTATCAGAAGATGAAGTTAAACAATTACATTGTCTGTTTTCGAAATATGTTCTTCGTTTCTTTAAACTCAACGAAAAGCTCTTCATTTTAAACAATTATGACACTAATGGACAAGGAAAATTTGGAATGACTAATTTAATGAACTATGATGCAAATCTTCAATCTCAATCACAGTATATTAAAGCAATGTTAAATGAATTAAGGATTCGAAAGAAAAATTATTATGCAAAGGATTTGATGACAGTAAATCTTTACTTAAACAACCTACAAGGAAATTTAAATATTATAGGTTCGTCGGAAAATGTGAGTGAATCTCCATACTCTGATCCTTTTAGTAAAGAAGAAATTTTAAGAAATAGATTCATCAAAAATTATAATATGATTGTAAAATATCTAATAGAATCTGTAAATTCTTACTGTAAATCATCTTGCAAAAACATTGAAATCGATCATCGTTTTGATGAACTTTGTGAATTAGTAAATATATCTGAAAAGGAAACAATTTACAATGACCCAAAAAAAATATTGGCTGAAATACACCTTATGAAATATCATGGCCTAGCAACATTTAAACAGTCTATTGACGGAGATAATTTAAATGATTATCATCCCACGAAAATGATGTTTTATGACCTTATGACAAATAATATTAAGTTCGATAAATCAGCATCAAATTCAAACAAACAACAAATAAATGAATTTCAAAAAAACAAACAAGAATCTAATGATTATGAAAATGGACTAAGCAATATAAGAGAAGTAGTTCTAGCATCTAACCAAACAAGTTTCACTAAAAAAACTATACTTGACGCATTCTATTGTGTATCTTCGAACTTCAGAGCTGAATATTTAAAATCTTTCCAACAACAAGTTTTAGCGGCTACAGTATATCCAATTTTAAAATCTGTTAGTAATTATATGATTGCATTTAAACAGGTGTTCTATGTCAATAATCAATTACTCAATCAAATAGAACCAATGCTTAAAGTTGGTAATTCTCTAGCGGAAAACTTTAGAAACTTCGTAAATTTGTACATACTACCCGAAAAAGTAAACGGATATTTAGTAAAACTGTTAAATAATGTAGAAAATATTATAAATATCAAGTCTAATAAGTCATTGAACAAATTCAGACACACAGAGTTGGTGTCTGAAGTATTATCATTGTGTTCAAAGCCTATGCTGTTAAACAGGCTTGAATTCAATGTAGAAGATAAACCGGAAAAACGTTTGAATAACGAACAATTTAATATTTTGCTGAATAAATTAAACAATGAAGTGAATAAAACTAGAAATTATGTAACAGTGTTATCAGTGCACCGACACATTTATATTGTAATTAGAAGATCTGTACCACATGATGATATGTTTGAAATTGAACCATTAGACACTATGGATACATGTGTAGCTGGTAAGATTAATAATAATTATTTTTATATTTTAAAAAAATAACAACACTAATATCCAAATGACTTGACAAGAAAATATAATTATAGTGTATATATCGACCTCTATTTGACAACTTAAAAAATAAAAATAAAAATTATTTTAGATTATTTAAAAATTCATTTGAATGTTAATTAGTTAAAGTAAGAAATAATTTGTGTATAAATTCAAAATTCATGTAATAGTATTTTGTGAAAATTGAAAACCCTGATTTTTATTAAGTAGATAATATATCTAAACTTCTAAATAATTTACGTTTACATTACCTGTTTCAGATTGAATGGGTACCTATAAAGATTGTAACGTCAATAACTGAGGCCTTGTTCAAATTTGTTAATCATATTATTAGTTCTCTTTTATAAAAATTATTTGTATAATTATATTTATGTAGTTAATTTTTTTTAAATTGTATAAATAAAACTGATTATTTCTATTATTTCCATTTTTTTATTTATGAAATATAATGTTATTAAATTACTTTTGAAACTTTTCGAAAGTTTACTTTATAATTAAAACATTTAATATTTAAATCTACTATAGTTACTATTTTGTACCCTATAATTTGGATAGGAAAAGAGTTAAATAATCTGAAAAGATTATACCAATTAAAACTGTTATGGTTCAAAAATTTTTTAAAATAATATACCAAAAAAAAGTAAAGCAAATATCAAAATTTAATGAATTCAAAAACTATAATTCTTTGGAAGATTTCCCCCTTTTTTATTTTTTAAGGGGAATTTTCAAAATTTTGTTGGTGATTATATAATAATATAATTTGTAATCTTCTGACGTTATATTGAGGAATATCGGTACTCAAGGAGTATACTAAAATTTCAGTATTTATTAGCTTCACACTGTCGTATCTCTTCGTAGTTTTACAAATGATTAAGGCCTTCGAGTCCTAACTGACTCAACTATTATAACCCATAACACTACTAAGGGGTATGTTCACGACTGTCAGCCGCAACCCAAAAGAGTAATAAGACTAAGGGTACTCAACTATTACCAGCACAATTTACTCGTTAGATTACTACCAAGGACGTGTCGTTTAGAGAATCAGCTGAGTTTTAAAGAGAAAATCCTTATGCCTTTCCTTAAAATAATAAAAAAGATTCAATAATAACATAAGCATAATTATTAGAGATATAAATAAAACAATATGAACACGCACAAAACAAATATACACTTAAAGTACAATAAAGTAATATACAATAGAAAAGACTTATTGTCAATAACGTACAGCGCGAAAAGAAATTACCCACGGTGCTCTCGAGGTACTCTCTTCAACAATTCATTCCATTTCGTCTTATATACTAAAACATTTTGTTTTATTTTTTAAAGTACGAAGTTAATAATACAACCATTTACAAAATTGTTAATAAATATTTACTTCCTGCATTAGAAACAATAGATCAGGAAATTAAAATTAAACCTAATATTACAATATGTTTTATTTCCAGCTATATAGATAATAACTATATTACAACAACAAGTTTAAGAATAATTTTTAATAATTTTTGATAATATACAAGAATGTGTATGTTCCTTAAATTTAAATTTTCTAATATTCAAAAAAATGAATTTTCAAATGGCTTGTAGAAATAGAAAATTCATTATGTAGAATTAGCCACCAAATCCAAAACACATATTTTCATTGAAAATAAAAAATGTTTAGTTGTATTGTTATTTTATTTTAATATTTGAAAACTTACAAAGGAATATCATTCATTATGCTTTCTTATGTTATCAGTAATTTTCATAAGGGCCTAAAAAATGAGTCGAATTAAAGGATAATCAAGGTTTTAACATAAGTCTTTTTTTAATTTTTAAGTTATTTTGTTGAATTGAAATACGGAATAAAACTTTCATCATATTTTTTATTTTTTTAATGAATTAATTTTCAAATTATTTTATTCTTTAAATCTTCTTCTTTTTCCTCGTCTAAATTCCAACTACTTGGGGTCGACCTCCCTTATCCTAAACTTCCACTTGACACGATTTCCCACATCCTTACGCTCACATCAACTGTCCTCATATCGCATTCAATAGCATCCCTCCATCTCATTTCATGGTCTTCCTCTACCTCTTCTTCTTCAACAATATTCATTTCTATAACTGTTCTTACAGCTTCCGATTCTTCTCACCTCATAACATGACCAAACCATCTAAGTCTATTTTCTCTCATCTTAAGCACGATTGACGCTACACTTATACTCCCTCTTATATGCTCATTCCTTATTCTATCTTTTCTAGTCACTCCACTTATCCATCTAAGCATTCTCATTATCTGCTCTACTTTCTTATCAACCGCCTAACACACTTTTAACCATACATCATATCTGGCCTCATTACAGTCTTATAAAATTTACCTTTCAGCCTCATTGGAATTCTTTTATCGCATAAGACGCTAGACGCTCCTCTCCACCTTAACCATCCGTACTTAAACCTGTGTCTTACATCTTCGTCAATGCCACCACTCTTTTGCACAACTGACCCTAGATACTTAAAACTTTCCACTTCTCCAATCACGTCCTCACCAATTGTCACTGATATCCTCATTTCACCTACTCGTGTTCTCCTTTGTCAAATTCGTACTCTATATACTTTGTCTTATTTTTACTTATTTTTAAACCGTTTTCTTCAAGAGCTGATCTCCACACCTCTAGCCTTTGATTAATTTCCTCCCTATTTTCTTCTATTAACACTATATCATAATTTTATTAAAAAAATTATTGCAAAAATAAACTAGAATTAATAGGTTTAATCAGACCACGATACATTCCATTAATAATTATAAGAAGTGTTTGAACAATATTGGTCACAGTACTACATCTGACAGTGGACATTTATCAATAGAGATCTCAAACCAATGTTAACCTATACATTTTTTAAGAAACATTATTTATTTTATTCCTAACTTGGTTTAGGCAATATTTCCGACCAATATGGTAATATTGACCAGGATCAAGTTGTAAATTATTGCATTTTTTGTTTTTATTAAATGTTCTGGAATTTTCGGAGAGACTATCATTACTTTATTCAATTTTAATATTCCAAGCAAAGCATTTTGCTTTACTTTGTGTATAACTGCCCAATATTTAGTTCAGTATATAGTACATTTTTTTAAAGCGAACTTAGTTTTTCAAATTCATGTTTATAAACAGTGGTAGACGATGTTTTGGCAAATTAAATAACTTTTGGTCCAAATAATATTTACATTGATTTTTTTAAAATAATTTACACCTTGGATGCTTTAATCGGTAATAGGTATTTATAGTCATAGTATTACCTAGTCAGAGATATTTTATTCTTTAAATAAATATAAAAAAAAAAATGTAAAATGTTTTTCATAAATATATTGGATCATCCAAAATACATACAATATATTATAAATTTAATGTTAAAATATTTGACTACTATTTCTAGTTAATGATACATTGTAGTTAAATTATTTAGTTTAGGAAAAATATTTAAGGCATGTGTAATATTTTATATTTTAACCTCATTAAAAAAAAACATTTTTTCTGCATTCAAATATATTGAAAACATTTTTGTACACGTTTGGAGTTGTGTCAATTTTGCTAATTTTATACATAGAAGGTATTTAACTGTGAATGACGTAAACTAAGTAATTTTTTATATTTCATAAAGTTACTTAGACGTCAAGTAAAGTAGGTACCCTAATATTGTAGTTAATTTTTTTTCTGTGTTCCTAGCAAATCGTTTATATCTCTTGAGATATAAATATATATTTTTTAAAATGAAATAGTCGAATGGCATATATTATATCATATCAAAAAGATTTTAATTATAAGTCTTTCTAACACTCCAACAGTTCCTAATGATATATAAAAACAAATTACAAAAAATATGTTTAAAATAATAAATACTTGATAAAACTTAATAATTTAATTATTGAATATAATTATTAATATTTAAATTACAGCTAAAATACTTGTAAAAGTCATCATATCAATCAATTTTACTAAGCATTAATATGTTTTATAAAATAAACTGAAATACATTTATAAAAAAGACTGAAAATCTTGAAGTATCAAATATTTTAATAAATAAATCCTTTAAAATATAGATATTTTATAATATTTTTCTAACATTATTTCCACTATCTAAAAAATAATATAAGGATTTAATTATTTTATAATTTAGTAAAAAGAATTGTTATTTAAAAACATTACATAAGTATTTTTCAAGTAAATTATATAGACTAAAACTAAGTTAAATGAAAAACCTCAGCCAATTAACATATAACCAAACAAAATACCAAATACCAAAAACCTATAACCGAAGATTCTCAATATATATCAGGTTTATATTATTTTATATAAAAAAATAAAAGATTATAATTTAATTTTTTATGCATCCCTTGAACATATTTGTAAAATATCTATAGGTTTCATTTTAAACATATCATCGTGAGAAATTGATCGTTTAACAATATTGAAAATATGTCTACGTATTGATAATGATTTTACATACATGTATATTTTGTTTGTAATAGTTCTTAAATCATTAGTTAATAAATCTAATTTATCTTCATTCATTGTATTTTTGAAATTATCTTCAATGATAAACACCAACCAATTTAATTCCATAGGCTTTGAACACAGCGATAATAATTCACTAACTATGTTAGGTGCTCTTAACTTGATTAATTTCTTTGTTTTATAATTTACAATGAATTCAAGTTTATTTAGTACGCCTTTCAGGTATGTGTTAATTTCTTCTGAAAACAAATTTAAATTGAAAAATTGTCTAATACTTTTTAACAAGGAATTTCCAATATCGGTTATAATTGTAGCATATTTATCTGAAACTTTAGCAATGAAATATATTTGTTTAAATCCTATAATGTATTGACTTATTGCCTTAAAAATTGGATGAATTGTAGCTGATAGTACAATTTGTTGGAAAGCTTTAACATAGTCTGCATTAAAATTTAAAGACACGCAATAAAAAACATCAACAACTGTATGTTTTAAAATACTATCATGACTTGACTTAAGTATTACTTCTCTAATTGCACTTAATCCGTCATCAAATCTTGCAATGTGCTCTATCGAGTTATTTTCAGTTATTTCATCAGGTTTAGCATTTCCAGTCATCAAATAATAGAACAACATATTTTTTGGATGAAAATCTTTATAATCATTTTTATTAACTATTGTTTTAAATACTGCGTGTCCATAATATTGCAGTAATTGTATATCTGCCAATATTTTTTCAGTATGACTATCAACTTTATCATGCACGGGTATTGTTACTATTTGATTTAGATCTTTAAAATGTATATCGATCTGATTACTTAAAACTACATGACAATTCGTGTCTAAATATTTTAAAATATAGCTTTTTAAAATATTTAAGTTTTCTTGTAAAATTTGTCGACGTATTTCAATGTTATTATTTTCATTCTGAAGATCAACATTTTTTTGAAAATTTGTACTTAAATTTCCTGTAATATTATTTAAATATAAATTAACTGACATCAAATCATGAACAAAATGATTTTTTTGTTTGTTTCTTAGTTCATCAAGCATTGCCATAATATTTTCAGATTGAAACAGAAGATTAGATATGTAAAAATTAAGTGTATCTTCTGTTACTGTATCACTAGTATTTCTATCACAAATTGAATTAATATATTTTTCATTCAATTCTAAATACCTCAGCGTATATTTTGAAAAAAAACAGTGCATCAAAGTGGCATTACCGTAATAATCGTCAGCTGGTCCTACACAAATAAAAAAAATTGATTGATGTTTATATAATAAAATATTTAAAAACTTTGAAAAAATGTTGTGTGTTAACTGAATATTTATTATTAATGTTAGAAAAAACAATTACCTTACCAAAAACTTAAAATAAAAACTCAATTATTTTTGTAATATTAATAAAATATCAAGTAAACTCAAATAAAGCGGTGTGAACATGGCATACTTAAGATAAGTATAGATGATATTTGACAGTGATTTTAATCACAGTAATAAGAAACGCATATATGCAAATCTAATATAGTATATAATTTTAAGAAATTTGGGAATTATTCAAAAAGCAACATTAATTCTTATATCCTTAAATATGTACTGATTATTAGTTCTTTGATTTATAAGTATAATATACGAATAAATACTTATTAAGGTATTTAAATTTAGTATGAAATAGATATTCAATAAATTATTATTGTAATTTTTACGGAGATATCATAAAAGATTAAAAGGTAGTTGTATATTTTATAATTCTAACATGTATAAAAATTGAAGGGCTTAAAGCAAAACTTTTCATGTAATAATTTTTTTTTTTATTATGAATAAATAAACTGGTCTAATTAGAATTTATATCAGAGTTAAAAATACACTTTTTTAACTAATTTTTAAACTGATTTTCAAATCTGCAATTAGATTTTTTCTATCTTCTAATTTTGAGATAATTACTAATTTGTAAAAAACGAGTTAATACTTATCAAAAATTGGTCCAGTGAGAGCTGAGAATTTGTATGGGCAGATATTAAAAAAAACAATTTTTTCATATTAAAATATATAACATAAGTTTAAAATATATATAAAAGTGTCAGTATTTCCGGAACACTTCCAAAAATTAAGTTGAAAAAGTTCTACTTAATATACGCATTTTAAAAGTTTTGCACCCCCCTTGCATAAAGGGAAATGGTCCGATTTAAAAACATTAAAAACATATATTAATAGTAGTTACCATGAAAAAATTATAATGATCCATACATTTTTCAAAAAGTTATAGCATTATAACGTTAAAAATATAAAAAAGAATTTTTTTAGAAAAATTTTATTTTTTTTTATAAACTTCGTTTTTATCGGGAAGAAAAAAAGTCCGAATTTTTTTTTTTCATAATTAATTATATTACATCAGCTTTAATTTAAGATATATATAAAAGTGTTAGTATTTTTTTCTGAAAAAAATTTCATTTTAAATCCCTCCCTGTGGTCAGGTAAAAGGTCAGATTTATAAAAAAAATATACAAAATGATAAGTAAGTACCTCACGTATCTATATAAAAAAAAAAAATCTATATAAAAAAAAATAACATTGATTTGGACATTTTTAAAAAAGTTATTACAGGTTTAAGTAAAAGAAATTGAAAAAAAGTAAAAAATTAGCAATTTTTAAATTTGTTATTTCTTTGGAGATTTTCCCCATTTACGGGGAACAAGGAAAATTTTTTCAATTTTTGAGGATAATGTCTTTGACTAGATAAAATTTGTAACATTTTGACGTATCGTTGAAAAAAATTGGTTCGGTGAGAGCTAAGAAAAAGTGGTAACAGGCGCAAAAATAAAAGTTATGGCAGTTTTAAGTAAAAAAAAAACGGTAGCACAGTGGGGTCGAGGCACAGTGTAGACGAGGCATAGATGGGACAAGTATAGATGGTATTTGACAGTGATTAAAATCACTATCATAAGAAACGCTTCGATGCAAATCTGTAGATAGTGTTTCATTTAGAGAAATTGGTGGATTATTCCAAAAGGAACATCAACTCTTATTTCTTTAATTATATCCTGATTAGTAGTTCTTTGATTTTAAAATATAATATATGAATAAATACTAATTATA